GCTTTTGGTATTATAAGACGTCCACAACGACCACATTTGGACTATAAATAGCCCATACATGGAGGTCACACGGCCGTCAATACTAGACGTTCATTAGACGTCAAAAAAAGACGTCGCCTGGCGTTACAAAACAACCCCTTCAGTGGACCAAAATTGGACGTCCAAAAACGACATATTAAAGATGTCATTCCGACGTCACTATGCGCAGTGGGAACGGAGCACATCCTAAGGATCTAGTTAGGAATCCTCATATTTTAAATCTAGCGTCGTGCTTAACCGTGGCCCCTGCCTGAATGAAAAACGATATTGTGCTGCATGACAACCGTTTCTTTGATTTTAAATTCTCCCCGTCTTGCGCTCCTTACCCTGAGGCTTCATGAACGCGAAATGACACAGTGTGATATGACGTCTTCTGGAAGCCAATTTGACATGGAGATGCTGAAAAGTCTCCCTACTGCAGGATTTTCCTGAGACAGATGTTTTAAAAAAATCATTTCGTTGTAGATGGAGAGTTTCACCCCTGCTGGGTGATGAATATCAGCCCGATGGCAAACACTACAGGCTGTTTTCAAATGAACTCATCACTAATCTATATTAATGCCTTCCATATATTCCATATAGGCCTACTCGCAAAACGTGTATGTATGGATTTTAACAAGATTTAAAACAATACACATTTTAAAGATATTTTAGTCTCACATTTTATTAATTTTCTTCAGTGCCAAAACATCACATAGACAGCTACGAAACCTAAATGCAAACCTAAACACAGGTTAAAAATAAAAATATTCACGTATTTAGAAAATAGTAGCCCTTTAAACCGTGACACGACACACAGATCCAAACACTATACTCAGTCCAAGAAGATGAAAAACATTGCGTATATTAAACGATTTGAAGCCCCGGGGCCACGATCATAACCTTCTGCCCACGGCGGTTTCGCTGACGTTGGATGACTTTTATAGCCATCTAGTGGCTGATAGTAGTACTACCACTTCACAGTTCTATCTGAGTGAATTTAATGCCTATTTTTGCGAGTTGCCATCACAAATTTAATTTGGTAGACGTACCGACACACCAAAACCCTACTAATACACAACAAAACAAGTCACGAGTACTAATACATTAAGACCCCTGTATTTAATGTTTTATCTTAGAGGTAGGTGGCCTGAAACTCTTAAAAAGGGAGGCGTTTTTTGTTAACGTTAAAAGCATTAGAAGGTGATTATGCTGTTCTGAGACTGGTTGAATACAAATTCACTGCGACTGAGATTTTGCAGCTAATATTAGTAGTGCTGGCATATTTCATGTGCAAAACTATTTTTGCATATTGTGTGAGGAGCTGCGCACGTTCACTGTATGGCGGCTGCTAGTGTTACAATATACGCGTGGGGCATTACCGTGAACGTAACAACTGGGCGGAGAATAGACCGATCAGGAGGATATTGGGGTGAACGTGTTGGTGTAGACTCTAAGGCAGTGCTTGAAGTGGGCCGGAACGCAGCGGAACGCAGTTCCGGAACTTCTGTATTTTCGTCTTTTGGGTTCCGCCACTTTTTTCTGCGTTCCGGAACTTACTGAAACTGATCCGACGCAGCGACAGTGGCCCGAGAAAATTAGAGTTCCTGCACTTATTTTTTCCCACTTCAAGCACTGGTCTAAGGTATCTGTCGATCGCCATGCAGTAGCCCCGCCCAATCCCTCTGCCTGTCGCCCCACGCACACAGACACAGAGGTACACAGGCACACATATGACAAGTCGTTAGTCATTGCTTATGGGTAACACTTTTTCGCTTGTAGAGATACGCATTCCTGCTAGAATTTCAGTATATTTTTTAACCTGCTTCAAACTGGCTAGTGAACAGTTAGACGGGTTTGCATTACTCACCAGCTGACGTATTTGGAATAGGAATTACACCGGCTGCCGGATAAGCAGATCTACTTCTGGGAAATGCGGACCAGTTCTACTGTCCACATTCCCACCTGAAACCAGCACATTATGTCTACTGGTAGTGGAATCTCATATTGGTTGCCTGAGAGCATCTCTGCCATTCTGGTTCTGTGAGCTGCCATTGAAGCTCTGCCAGACCCTGAACATGAATGAACATCCCTTTAACTGCTTGTCCTTTATTTATTTTTGACACAGTGCCCATTTATATCGCCAGCTTTCCAGTTTGTCAGAATGGCTTTAAATGCCATGCTGCACTCACCTGTTTGACTAGTTTCACTGTAAGAGGAAGACTTCTGGAAAATTCTGCAATCAAATATCAAATACAACGTCACATTACAAGTTATCAAGCTGCAGCATCAGGTCAGGAAAAGAATAACCATACCTGAATTTTCATGTCAATTCCAATTAGATCGTTAAATACAATCCAACCAAAAAAAATCCAGTGAGAAGGTTGAATGAAATGAACAGTCCCCTGGAAAAGCATGCACTGCTTAAGAAACATTTTATTTCCATTTTCCTACTTATGACCCTTCTGTACGCTGCAGTGTCCCTGCAGCTGTTGCCAGGCTACTAGGTGAAGCGATGACCAGGTGGGGTCATCAGGCCTGATGCCGGCAGGTGCGGCCTGTGCTCAGGCGGTCTGCGGTGAGGGGATGAAGGCACAGCACGCCTGCCTTGCCTGCTACGTGTAGCTCACTGGCCGACACAACTCGAGGAGCGGCAATAAGCCCTCGCAGAAATGATGCGGACAGGGTAGGAGCCATTAGTGCAACAGTGTGTCTGTAAGTCTGCTTGAGCGTAGCAAGATGGCACTCCGGCAAGGTGGAGTGGGGGACTGGTGCAGTGAGGAGGCCTCTGGGTGTTTTCCAGCTCTTCTGATTGACGATGCCCATTGCTGGAGGTCACATGACAGAGCAGCGGTTGCGCTGCAGTGCCCCCTGCAGGCGGATGGAGGTGTGGTTCTGGCGCAGGCCACGAGCCACGGCAATGCCAAGCAGCTCCTTGAAGAGCAGCACGACGTGCCAGTTGAACTTGGCTGAGCACTCCACATAGCCGCACTTCCATGTCTTCTTCACCAGCACAGAGACGGCCCGCCGCGGTGTGAAGCGATGCCGCTGCAGGTCGCGCTTGCTGCCCACCACCAGGATGGGCACTTCACTACCGCTGGCCTCCCTGCAGGGGGCGTGAGAGAGTCAAACTGAGAACAAGTGTGCCAAGACTAGTCAATGTGTGTCATTTTTGAAAACGTATGAAGGTCCCAACTTTCTGTGGAATTTTCTGATCCTCGATGCGGACAGCTTTTAGGGTCCAACCTACTCACCTTACACATATATACTCATATACTTTATATGTATAGCCACTGTTCTCAGTCTGGAGCTCAGCAGTAATGCATCTCACAGCATATTGTACTCAGTATAATTGTGTATGTCACATGACATTTTACTATTTACTGAAAGCCATAACTTTTACTACACCATAAAGTTATATTGTACTGTATATTGAGAACAGTAGATTGCATTACATGATTGCATACATGCCATAAATGTTATAACATTTGGGTCATATTTAATATTCATTCGGTACATGATCTGCAAGCAGAGCTCAGTTATGCCTTCAGAACAACACTGTGCAAAGGTATCCAAGGTCCTATGAGACATGTGGAGGTATGATGCAGCATTTTTTTTACCCCAGTGCGGTAACCAGGACGAACTGGCCACTATGGGACCCTCGCTAAAGACTCCACCCCCAAGCATCCACACTACCATATACTACCTATCCTATTTGTACACTCAGTGACAAAAAAGGTTAAGCACCCAGACAGAGTGGTGGAAATGGAATGAATCTGCATGTGGTGAAAGGTCATGTGACTGTATCGCAATGATTATAATATCAGATCAAACGGACAGAGTTGGCAGTATGGGCACACTGCTGAACCCATGTCAGTAGGGTGTGACACCCCCCCGGGCCTGAATACATGCAGCGATACGGTGCAGAAGGGAGTCGTACAGCTGTTGTATCCAATCCTTCAGCAAGTCGGCCCACAGCTGTTGTAACTGGCTCTCAAGATCCTGCAGATTGGCACTGGGTCTGAGCTGACGTCCGAGCTGATCCCACACATGAAAGATCGGGAGAACTGGCTGGCCACAGGAGGACCTCAACATGACGCAGGCAGTCCATAGACACAGGTGTCGTGTGTGGATGGACGCTGTCATGTTGAAAGACTGTCTCAAGAGGGGTAAGACATAAGCCCTATGGCCCACACCATGATGCCAGGAGTAACATCGGTGTGTCTCTCTGCAACATGGCAGGATTGGTCCTCTCCCCTCGGCGCTGCCATACATGCACATGACGGTCATCCATGGTAATGCATCACTGAACATGGTACGATGCCACTCCTCATCATCCATGCCTCACGGTTACGGCAGCCTACGCGTGGGATGGTGAACCCGTAGTCTGGCTGATGCCAGTCGTCAAGACACGGTGCAGGATGCCACAGGGTGTTGTAGAGAGTCCAATAATACCTGTGTCCGGATGGCAGGCACAGATGTCATGGGGTTCTTTAATGCTTTTCGCACAATATGAAGATCCTCCCTTGGTGAGATCCGTCTTGGGTGACCAGAACCTTCACGGCGTGTGGGTGCCCTCACGTGCCCATTGGTTCCAACATCAGGTGACTGTGACATCTATATGCCCAACATGCCAGGCAATTGCACAATACGACCACCCAGCCTCATGCAAACCCACAATGTGACCCCTATCAAACTCCGTTAAGTGCTGGTAATGGTCTAATGCGTCTAGGAGGCATCCTCTGTGTCTGGTGACTAGACATGCCAGCTCCTTGCAAATCAAATCATTTACATACCCATCGCTGGTCTGCACGTGTACCAAATTACATCCATATCCGACCATTACTTCTGGGTGCTTCACTTTTTACTTCTGGGTGCTTCACTTTTTTTGTCACTGACTATACTTTGCACATATTTTTTTATTATTCTGTTAAATGTCACGTTTTTGCAGTGCTTGGGGAGTTGCTATCACTATCTTGTTGTCCTGTCGTATACAACAATGATAAAGGATTGAATGCTGAATCTTGATAGAGTGCATTCACTCAATTAGTGAAGTGAAGAAACCAGATGGAAAACAAAAAACATTTTTGCAGTCTGGGTGGTGACATCCCTGATGGTGAAATTGTTCACACATACAGAGATAGCTGCTGATGTACACACACACACACACACACACACACACACACAGCTCTCGAAAAGCCTGAATACACACACATACAAAACAAGCCTAAATTAGCACACATATTCAGGCACAAATTCATGTATATAGAAATAGGACAGTCACACACACTCATTGTCACAGACACCCCCCAAATGTTGTGTTCTGTCAGGGGTGATCAAAGCGCCGTGGGAGGAACTAGCTGCCACGCCATGAGTGAAGCCCCCGCAGCACACAAGGACTTGGGAAGACATGGTCCATCAGGGTGGGGCGATGCCAGACCGGTTCAAACAGGCTGGGCATTTGTAGAGGAAATTGCTCAGGAGCCACTAGCTCCTTCTGCCTGGCAGGCCTGCTCCCAGAGCCCACACAGAAACCAGCAGCATTTGTCTGGATGCTCTTCCTTTGATTTCGATAATCTACCAGCCCCCTACGCCCCCCTAATGGTCCATTTCTACTTCTCTAGATAATGAATGCCTTGTGGTAGACTATAAAAAACAAGCTTAACTGCAGCCCACTCTAAACATTTCTCTCTGGCAAATGTCTCTGAAGTTACAGTCTTCATTTTGCTTAACTATCAACAGGCTTGCTGCAAATACAGAGGCTGAACCCTCTGGGTCTTTCCACTGCTGGCCACACAGAGCAGGTGGGCAGCAGCCGGCCAGTGTCCCCCACGCAAAGGGTGGGGGACTGGTTTGACTGACTTGCAAATGCTATAAAATCCCGCAACCACGCCTGGCTTCAAATGCTACCTTGTAACCGCAGATGTTACGGGGAACTGCGTCCCCCACCCCCCTTTGCCATGCCAGCAGGCCGAGCTAACTGGCAGGACCCATCTCTCGGCATCTCCACTCAGACAGAAGTGTTGAGGCTTCTTCACTGTGCTGGGCTTGACAGCGGTGGAGTAAGTGGGCAACGAGCAGGGCCCTGAGCATAGTGGTGAGCAGAGGTTGTTGGACTAACAATCTGAGCTGAACTGGAAACCCTAGTGACTAAAACTCACACTGCAGCTCTGGTGTAACCTGTGTTATTCCTCCCATAGTGTCAGAGTCACTTGCTGAATTAATTAGCACTATTCTGTGAAGGGAGGGCCACAACGCACCTACTGGCCACTAAAAACCCTCTCGGCTGTTCCTCCAAACAGCACTTTGCTTTGTTGCACCATGTGACTGACAGTGTTGGAAAGAAAGCAGATTGGCAGGGCTGCAGTTCTCTGCATATTGAGCCCGATGATATGGCAGACAGAATTAAAACACCCCGATTCACACATTAGTACCTGTGCTCCATGATCTGCTGCCGGATCATCTTGACATACTCAAAGCTCTCCACGCAGCAGATGTCGTAAACCAGGATGTAGGCATTGGCGTTGCGGACACCTCGGCAGCGCAGGTCCATCCACTCCTGCAGGGGGCACCACAACAGTGTCACATAATCAGCATCTTAAGAGATACGAATAAACAGAGGAAGAGTAAAATACGGTTCGAGATACATGAGACTGCCAGATTTATTGTTAGTTATCCTAGATGATTATTAATACAGATTAAAGACAATAAATAAAATTACGAGATACCAGTAAATGCCAAGGTTTCTACATTGAACAAGGGCACCAAAAAACCCTTTAAACAAATGGTGCTAAGAGGGTTGTGGGGTAGAGCTGGTTGCCAGGACGCTGCTAAAAGGAAACAAAGGTATCTCCGTTTTAAGTTCACTCTTAGAGATGAAGATTGCTTCTCCTGTTTAATATTCCTACAGTGATGCCTCCGGGCAGAGGGAGACAGTTCTGTCACTCAAAGTCACATCTAGAGCAGAGCCATGAAAGTAAACATCCTGCCCTGCCAAGCGGCATTTTTAATTTTTTTTTTTGAGGGGGGGGGGGTACAGGAGCTGTTGCTGTGTATGTGTGTGGGGACCTCAGAATGGGGTGTAATAGGGTCAAATCCCCTCCAACCCCCAGCATCACATGGCATGCCCTGGGGATCCAGGTTCGATTCCCGCTGCGCCTAAGAGATGCAGTAAACGCAGGAGCGGTTTGTTCACTGGCAGCTTGGAGAGAGCTCCATCCTCCTGTTGTTGCTGGTCTCACTGTCAGCGGTGCATCTAGGGGGCCACGGCTCAGAGGTGCGGGAGGGGACTCTGCAGCACCAGGACTGGGAAGTTGCAGGCCAGGCACCTTGAATGCCAGCCCAACAATACATAAAGGTACCACAGGAGTCACTCTAGAGAAGCTTTTTCTTAAATCATAATTCAAAAGGTCAAGGGGAACAAAGACATCCTAAGATCTCTAAAGATATCCTAAGTGTTTCTCAGTCCGGTCCTTGAGGACCCACAGACATTCCATGTGTTTGCTCCCTCTCAGCTCTCAGTAAGGACTTTCTGGTAGGGAGCTCAGAGTGAGCTGTGGGTCCCTGACGACTGGATTGGGAAACACTGCCATAAGAGGTGTGAGTCCCTAACAACAGCAAGGAACGTACAGCAGAAAGGATGACACAGTCACCAAAAGCCTTTGGGTTAGTACATACTTCATAAGGATGACATTAGAATAACAGACAGTTTGAAACAGCTGTAATGATCCTTTTTTGGCCTGCAGCTACAGCCAGAGAATGCCTTCCACTCCATCATTAATGTGCAGATTAATGATGGCCAAGGCACATTTCAGTCCATAATGGACGTTTGTTTCCATCTTCAGGTGCTGGTGCCGAACGCTGGCTATTTCACAAATGAACGGCGGTGTGCAGGCCTGCTGAAAGTGGAGGTAATTAGGGCGATCGAGCGGCATAGCAAACACAGAGCCACTGCAATCATTAGCAGAGATGGAGAGATGATGAGAGAGAGAAGGAGGGAGAGAGAGACACACACACAGAGGCAGGAGAATGAGGGGAGAAAGCTGACAGTGATTGAGTAAATATCACTGTGCTGTCGCTGCCTGATTCAGCTCTGTCTTCACACGGTGGCCATGTGACCTGCAAGCCATCATTAGGTCTTTTCATCTTTCTGCCAGCCCCCCCTGCCTGCCCCGGCCCCCCGCTCACCTGCCCCTGCCTCCCTGCATGACATCTGTTCAAGCTGCAGGAACCCAGTGGAGCGAATCATGTGGCAGATGTCAGACATAATCTGGAAGGGTCACATGGCCTGGGAGGCGGGTGAAATAACGCCCCCCCTTTAGCGCTGAGTAAAGGCTATGCCCCCCACCCACAGGAAAGTGGCAGATGGGCAGGATATTACTACTGTACATGTAAAAATTAAATTCCTGTGATAAGGATTCTTTATTTACCTCTCCGGACACACTGCTAACCTCAAGGGTAGAGGGTCAGGTACCAGAGAGGCCGTCTCATTGACCTTTGAACCTCCCCCTGTGTCTTGCCCTTCCCTTGTCACAGATCTGCGAGCTCTTCGGCATCCTGAGCGAATGTGTGTTTGGCATCCCCCCAGCGTGGCACCCAGGTGAAGGAAAACAAAAAACATGGCAAAAACTTGAGCCACAGAACTGCTGACACACGCTGCTTTCTCCCAGCACTAAAAATAGAGCGACGCACCGCCATCACATACCCCGCTGTCAACCTGGCGAATGCGGTCAGACCTAAGCCAGGAGGGACTCCCCCTGAGTGCTGGGCACCATCTGCTTCCAGACCACCCCATGGATCAGTCCCCTCTCAGAAAGGTAGCGGCCAAACAGCTTCGCTGATGCATTCCTTCATAGTTCCACACTTCCCCCTATTTATGCAACTGGACGTTTTACTGAAGCTAAATAAATTAATTACAGTTTTCAAGGGCATAATACCTTCTCCCCCCAGAGACTCAGACTGCCAGCCTTTTGGGTTATTAGCCCGCATCCTTAATTGCTTTGCTGCCCTCAGCCCTGTCATATGACTGCATGCTGGTCAGGTGACTCGCGCAAGAGGACTGAAAGTAAGGATCTGCAGAGTCCACCCTGAAGGTGAGCTGCTCAGATTAATACTGACAAAGCAGTCCGGTCCATCCTGTCTTAACATCCCTCCTCCAGTTTCACCCTCTCACCTCAATATAACCTCGAGTGGAAAAAAAACTGGATATTACACACTGTTTTCACATCTACCAGAACAGACATGATGTTGTCTTCCTGTTGGGTGATGTGTTATGACATGTCATGTTAAGCACTCCTTGGTACCTGGATTGGGAGGATGCTATATGAAAATAAAGCTAACAGTTGAATTTTTTTGTATTTTACTGGCATGTACAGTATATAGAAACAGGGATTGATAGAGGAGTAGAGACCTTGTGGAGTCTGCATGCTCTCCTCGTGTCACACGGGTTTCCTCCTGTAGTCCAGAGACAACAAACTGGAGTCTGGCCACAGAGTGTGTAGGAGTGTGTGGCCCTGTGATGGACAGGGTGTACCCCAGCTTTGTGCCATATGCTGCCTGGGATAGGCTCCAGGCCCCCCATGACCCTCAACTGGATAAGCAGTTGGAAAATGGATGGTTGAGATTTTATCAGTATATTGGTTTAGTGCAGCTCTGCAAAACCTGGAGAATTCTAATTTTTTGTCTTTTGTGGATCTCAAACCTAAACAGTGTGTCTTTCTCAGATGACTCTGAATTTCCTCGGCAGATGAAACCTTCGGATACAGACTTTGAACTTGAATTGCCTATGAGGTGTGCATTTGTTCAAACAGACTATAAATAAACACAGGTTCTGAAGTGTGTAACCACGGTAATAAGTGTGGAGAGCACAGCACTCACAAGGGCTGGGGGAACGGGGACAAAAATCTTGGAATATAATTTGGTGAACTTGTGCATCTGAAAGGCTCTGATTTTACACACACACACACACACACACACACACACACAGGTATGTAATTATATTTTTGTGGGGACTCTCCATTCACTTCTATGGGGAAAACTCTAATCACAACACGACAACCTTAACCCCTACCCAGCCCTATCCTTAACCATAAGTAACCAATCAAAATATGAGACTTTTGCCATTTTTACTTTTTTGAATGCATTCACAGATCTTTGTGGGACCCAAAAAGTGGTCCCCACAATGTAAAAAAAAAAATCAGGTTTTCATTACATTATGGGGAACATTTGGTCCTCACAAAGTAATATAAACCTAATACACACACACACACAGTCAAAGACACACACACAGGTACACACATGCACAGGCACACATGCACAGGATTAAAGTAACACACAGGTGAGGCACAATGCCATTATTAGTCCTCCCTAATTACCCATTAATCTTGCTGAAACCAGCAGTCATGTTATTCTGGACTTAATTACAGACATTATTTGCATTTGTATAAGTGCCTTCATACAACCTCACTTATTCTCACCAAGTGAATGAGACACTCCAGCAATCTGTGGCCCAGCAGCCTGTCCGCACTGGATAGTAAGAAGCGAGGATGAAAAAAGAGCAAAGATGGCACCGCGGGTAAGTTAACTCTGGGTGAGGGTAAGCTCTCCTCACCTGACAACAACAGATCAAATTAGTGTAGAGCAGCCATTTTTGGTGAAAAATGCATCCCATGAATCCACTACGAAGGAGAAGTGAGTATTTAATAAGCCAATTAAACAGGGAATGGGGGGGTAATTAAATGGCCAGAATGAAAGAGACGCACTGGGAAGAGAGCCAGCACAGCAGGTCAGCAGCCCCCCTACCTGTAATAAACAGCTCAAGCTCCATAATGGCCGCAGCTCATTTGCTTTATGTTATTTTACATGAGTTGGTCGTGTAACAAACGGCTGCATACAGTAACAGTCCTAAAAGCTTCTCTCTCAGCACTCAAGGAGATAAGGAGCACTGATTACAGTGTGTTGCTGCACCCACCTCAGGGATGAGAACCTGAGTACAGCCATGTGGTAGGTGATACCTCACCACCACACTAGTTTGAATGGACCAGCATGAGGTTTTTTCCCCAGTGGCTGGAGTTCCAATCCTGCCACCAACCCCCAAGTTATTCCCTGTAAGTTGGACCTCCTCCTTATAGGGCTGGATGTAGATTAATGTCATACCCAGGACAAAGCAATTGCAGGTTAAGGGCCTTGCTCAAGGGCCCAACAGAGTAGAACCACTCTGGGCATTCATGGGATTTGAACCAGCAACCTTCCAAATGCTGACACAGATCCCTAGCCTCAGAGCCGCCACTCCCTCCCCAACACATAGAGCTTTCTAGAAATGGGTGATGAATCCCAGATGCTCAGAAATGACCACCTAAAGTCACAGCTGTTGGGAAATGTTACCAGTTGGTGTCACAGAGCCCATAATATGGGGATCAGTGGGTTAGGACACAATTGCCTGTCATCAGAAGGCTGCCAGATCAAAACCACCAATTTCTCCAAGCACTGTCACACCTTGCTTTCTCAGAAGGATAAAACACCTGCTAAATAAATAAAATATCAAGTATATAAAGCAAAACTTAAGATAAAATGTTATAGTTGACACAAGCTGGCCACTTGGCTACATGATTGTAGAAAACTGAGGCGTATGTTTCTTCACTTAGTGCAGAAGGAATGTTGCCCAGAAGCAGTTTGCTGCGTCGCCGAGGTCTCCCATCCAATGGAGGGGTGGGGGGTGCAGGGCAGTGATGGCCCCGAGAGGCTGAGGAGAATACGAGATGGGGGAGTCAAGTAACGGTGTGATATGGGTGATGGTGGCGATGCTGATGAGGAAGATGATGAGAGAGTCGCGCAGCAAGAAGAAACAGTGGCATGTGACTGGGTGCCATCTGTTACGGTGTGGAGAGGATAAATCACGACAGATGCTTCTGGGATATAATTAGTAACATAAATACAGTAAAAAAACAGTGAAAAAGAGTAACACTCTGAGTAATACACAAAGTAAAGTACTGAGTAACAGAGCATAGCACTAGGAAGAAACAAATGAAGACACCAAGTGACACTATGTGACATGCTGAGTAATAAAGTCAAAGTCAATATGCGAGTAACACATGGAACAAAACACTGATACACTGAGGAACACACTGAGAAATAGAGGCAGGCACCACCAGAAGGTGCTGGCATGTCACAAGCATCTTCTTGCTGAGCGAACGCTTCCCATAGTGCAGCACTTGGTGCATTTCTCAAACCCTCTAGGAATTAGATTATTGACTAATGTTTGCACCATGACTTAACAGTTTTAAGGTGGTGTGGGTGAACATAATGATGAAGCATAATGATGAATCACAATATATACTTTACTTCCGTCAGTATTACCATGATGTACTATGGTAGTTATGCAGGTCATTAACATGTCTGATATTTCATAACTGCTTTTATGTGTTACAGTAAGGCCTACATAGCATAGAATACCATGTGATAGAGATGCATGATTTATTGATATTGGCCAATATTTGTTAAAAATCAAGATACTGGCATCAGTCCAATGTGTCCATCTTTGCTGATATTGCTGGCTGATATAAAAAAATGATCAGTAATCAAATTTAGCCACACCAGAACTAAGGATGAAACTACTAAAATAACAGAAATGATTGCATTGGATGATCAGCCATTTTCCATATTGAAGGATGTGGGATTCTGTCGACTCATGTATCACTTAGTACCAGGCCGCGACACTAATAATTCATTATTTAATCTGTACTTAATCTGCCTGCAAATCGATCTTTTGTTTTCGACAGAATAAAAAAACACAATGTAGCATTATTCTGATAATCGGTGCTGGCAAACTCAACAAGCCGCCTCCCCCCTTCTCCACAGCAAGTAGCTCTGAGATTAGCCAGTAATCTGTATCAGACATTTTAGACAAAAATGTATCAGTTCTCAGTACCAGTTAACACTCCCGGTGCACCACTAGCATGTAATATTTTTTCAGGTCCTTTCATAGTCGCCCTGAGACACTATACTCATATCCCACCCAACCAGGGTTGGACTGGCCATCTGGCATACCGGGCAATGCCCGGTGGGCCGACACACATTTTTGGGCCGGCCCGGGGCCCTCCGCTGGATCGTAAAGGCCGCTCCCATATACTAAATACACACAAAATTATATTATCGCAGTTTTCTCCCAAGCTCTTGATGGCTGGAATATATTATGCATATTTCAAGTTTGACTTGTGATTTTATATATCTCTCATTTTCGTTATGCATTCTTATTATGGTGGGTTTATGGTGTAATTTTTTTATTTAAAATATATAAAAAAAAAACTGTAAAATCCCTACAACAAACTCAAAATATAATACATAGTAATGTTTTGAAGTCAAACTAAGCTGTTCCTTTTGTATTTAATGGTTTTCCGTTTGAGGGATTTGCAAAAAACTGCAGTGCATGATGGGTAGGATCTAAAAGCTGCCTAATGTCCTCATCCCTCTGACGACTGTTGCGTATGTTGGTCCAGAAAGTAATTCAATTTCGCCATGTAGGCTACGTTCTTAAAAACTGCTTTTTGTTGGATATGGCCCAATTATATGCTGTGGACCATTTAATTTCTGTTTGGAATTTCGCCAGGTAGGCTACCTTCTTTAAACTGCGTTTTGTTAGACTACATATTTCGGGATGTTGTATTGTAGTCTTTGTAAATATGTATATAATTTAGTCTAACCCAGCCACTTAAGGGAGCAAACCAGCTCAACTAGGTGCCGGTCCCAAACCCGGATTAATGGGGAGGGTTGGCGTCAAGAAATAGAGACTATGTTCACTGCATCACTGATGTCAAAATGTGGGAAATATGTGGTTGTATAAATAAATGCGTTAAAGTAGGTTAATGATTCTGTGCTGTCTAAATTGTATAAAAAGTTAGGCTACATGACACTTGAATGGGCTATACCCGAATGCATGGATGCATTATGAGAATATGTTTATGTTTCTTTGACATCCACTTTCACTTCAAGGTGGGAATTGTGACACTGTGGCCATCTCTCCCAAGATGAATCCCTGAGTAGTGAAAGAGCATATCAATTTTTCAACATGGTTACTCTCTTCCTGCTGTGCTTTATTTAAATTTTTGAAATCACACAACGTACACATATATTCTCTGGTATGTCATGTGCTTTCGCATATCGTATAAATAATCGTAGTGGGCCACCATAACCAAAAAATGCCAGGGCCATTTTTCGGTCCCAGTCCAGCCCTGCATCCAACCATATAGACTCTTCTGAAAACCCCCCCTCACGCTACCTGAGTTATGGGTTATTGTTGATTAAATCTGCATAACAACCTCAGTCAGGTCGCTATCTTGCCCCTTTGGTGTTCCCTCTCTTCTTCAGTGGGCCGGTGTGTTGCACCCCTGGGACCACCAACCTGACAACATCCACATTAATTGAGATCATTACATAAATAAAACATACACAAATACTCTGCTCCAGTGACACTGATAGAAGTGCAAGGAGGGACATTCATACTTTAGAAGAGTTTCAGTGCTTCCAAGGTGTCCCACATAGCTGAGCTGAGTAATTCTGGGCCCACAGCTGTGCTGCGAGCCATTGCTGACACTATGAGCACCTCTTGCGGCAAAGAGCTGTCCCCACTAAAATAGCCCTTTTGATTAGTATACTACGCCACTCTGACATCCCAAAGATACTTCAAGGGCACCTTCCCAGTCAATCCAGACCGGAAGCCTGGGGGACATGGGCTCTTCCCACACCTTCTCCATCACCCCTTCTCCATCACCATCGACCTTCATCCATCATCAGCACCTCCTGCTGCCTACATGCAATAATATCTACCCAAAAGTAGCTGCATAGAGTGAATTTATGCAAAGTCTCATTGTAGGTTTAGGTTCACCCTTAAGATGTCTGGTTGAATTACAACCCAAAGCCAATGCTTTACATCCTTCGACTTTTGGCCCTTTATAAAATTCTTGTGGCTTGCCATCTCCCAGGAGCCCACTAGAGTCATTCACAATTATGGGGTACAATGTGTTTCCCCCAGAATGACAATGTGTCCCATCATGACCTTGTGGATAATCATCTGGAGGGACTCTAACAGTAGCATAGCTGCATGACAATGGAAGAAGTGCCGCAATATGACAATGGGTCAAAGTCACACTCCGGTCTGCTTGTCATATTCACCTGGGACTCAGTGATTCCACATCACAAAGACGGTAGGGTGGCACGTAACTATTTCTGAGGCAGAAAGCCAGCAGTCAGAGGATCCAGAGGGGTGGCTGGGACCTGCCTGTCATCCTCCATTGAAAAGTGCTACTAAAGGTTTGCTGCAAATACTATTGACAGTTTAAAGGGGAAACAAATTCACTGACTATAGGTCTAAACCTGCCACATCTGTCACATATCTGCCTTGAACTTAGCTGAATCTGACCTTGTGCACCTACAAAGAAATGCAAGTATGCAACAGAAGTGACTGCCACATGCACAAAACACACAGTTTACTACTACTATTACTAATAATGATCATCATAATAAAGTTCTGTTTATGTAGCACCTTTCAAATATGCAAATATTGCACATATATACAGTGTATCACTAGACAGCAACATAAAATAAAAAACAAGAATGGAAAATAATGGAGAACACAACACATCAACATAACGAGAAATTAACAGCAGGAGAGAGAAGGGTAACACAGAGATAGATGTGATTTTAGCAGAGAAACAGGCGTTGTGTGTCTGAGATGAGAAGGTGAGCCCTGGAGGGTAAGAGTCTTCGCACTATATGACCTGGAACCCATGGAGAAAAGCCTAAACTTGGGGACCATGGGCAGATCAGACCCAGATAACCTATGTGGGCAGTCTGGAGTGTGAGGGTGACACAGCTCTTTCAGAAGGGTGAGAACTTTGGGGGTAGACAAAATCAGTTTGCACTGAATGCGGGATCAGACTGCAAGAGGATTTTGAGTGATACATGCAAAGTGTTTATGGCGTGCGTGGATCCGAGTTGTACAGTTTCAAGTTTAGTGCAGTCTAGCGAGATATTTGGAAGGCAGTTTAATCAACTGTACATTGCAGGAATCTAGAGAAGTGGTGACGAAGGTATGAAATAGGGTTTTGGCATCCTTCATATTAACATGGATTAATAGTATAATAATAATACGGTATAGATATCCATTTGTCATACTCCGGAAAGTAACATACATATGCACAATAGACCTGATTTGCAAACTAATTGTAAGCAATGCTGACACATACACATATAATTACAGTAACAGAGTAACTCTCATTATGAGTAAGTTGAGGCTCTGCTCAGATTTGAAGGCGAATGCAAACAGCAGGCCCCAGTGAGGATTTGAACGAATACATAAAACAGTAAAAATCAGAGAAACTCCTGTGTCAACAATCAGTTCAAATGTCACAGTGCTCAGCTGAAGAGCTGGGGGGGGGGGGAGTTGTTCACTGATTAATATACTTTCCACTGAGTCAAAACAAACACACACACAAATCTCCACTGAGTCAAAACAAACACACACACAAATCTTTGCTAAATGTTAGCTGTTGATATCAGTTATGTGACTGCAGTAAGAATCAGACAGACTGTCCCCTTGAGTCAGCTTGAACAACCTTTACTTAGCCAGGGGACACTTCTAGAGCTTTTGGACCCCATGAAAGCATATCATTTGGGGCCCCAACCCAGACCAATCCAAACATGTTCAAATTCTTTTAAGGCCCTTGGAATCGCCCTAACTCTCCTGGCAGTATTGGAGCTCCTGATGGCCATGGAACCATCTCCCCTAACTAAGCACTAAGCAGCCTGCTTGGTCTCCCCTGCTACCCACCCCCTGCAAAGCAGGCACACACACACAAAAATGAGAGAGATATTTAGTATTCACAGATTGGAAGACACTAAATAGTCAGGTCTCCATGGTAACTGCTCTGAAGTGGGCTGGATCTCCTGTGAAGACCCCCTTCCTGAATTTACACCAAAACTCAATGGGGACTTGTTACTTTGGAAATAAAACCAAAGCACTATGTAACTTAAGCCTAACAGGCAAATCTCTGCCACACATATGCGATGTGTAAAACACTGACTCAAAATAAAGATACCCCTCAGTTACTTAACACTAACATGATACACTTAATCACATCATTTACTTGTAAAGAAAACGATCCTTTTAGCAACAAACCCCCTTAAGGGAACATGCAGTTCATTGATTTTTTTTAATGTGTCTTGCATGAGCTGGTTGTCCGAGTATAGTTGACTCACACAAGTATCCAGGGTCAGTTCAGTTTGCTATTCTACAAACACTTGCTTTGAAACAGTCCACCCATTGTTTACAGAAAGAATCGATTTAAATAGCCCAACGCAAACTAAAATTGTTAAACCATCCATTCATTTTTAAGCTTTTTTTCTTGTCAGCTGGGCAGCGCTAATCCAACTTCTAAATTATTTTCTTTTTAATATTAAGAACCATTTCTCCTTTTCCTTCGTATTTTTTTTTTAAATAATAACACAGCCTAATAGTTGCAAGTTATTTCTCTCTAATTGTAATGTATATAGCCACTTCCATATAATATCCAAACCACGCATCATGTTTTAAACCCGCAGTCCTTTAAAACATTTTTCAATATTTTTATCAGTAAGCTACTCGGGAGCAGTCAGAATAACAGAAGACGCATTTAGGAAAACCCAAAGCACACATTTCCGCATTGTTTCAACGCATAAAACTGATTAAAAGAAGTGTCTCACAACAAAAAGGAACATTTAAACAGAGCATTTTCATGAGTTTCAATAAACCGTTGGTGTGGTGTGCGGGGGGAGATGTTACATGTAGTTTTTTACAGAAGGAGTAAAGGAAACCTAAAAGATATACAATTCGTTAACTGTTCCTGTGCCATGGCTCCATAAAACCCTACCTGGCTGGTGCTGGAGGGGAAAGAGGAAATTGGCGGGACATCCAAAATCTTCAGGTCGTACATGTTGCCGTTCAGAATGACCGATGGCCGGTAGACGTACCTGGCCTGGGTGGGCGTGTAAACCTCGGAAAAGTCATTATAAATAAACTGGCGGATGATGGAAGTTTTCCCAACTCCGGGGGCACCGATCACTGCGATGCTCAGTGTCTCGACCATTCCGGGAAAACAAGCACCATGGACAGAGGAAAGAACGCGCGAGCGAACTGCCCATAAAACCGCCTATTTCTACCCCTTAAAATAAATCCCTGTGTCTTTTCCGTGAAGCAAAGGAAGCACTTTTCTCATGCGCATACCAAAACGGCTGATAGTCAATACCCAACACAAGACATTGAAATGTCAATTGAGCATACACTTAATTTTGCATAATGCAAAATGACGGAAGATACTCGTGCCATTGCCGATAGATTTTCTACTTGCGAAATGCAGTTGCGAAGCTTCGTAAGAATAAATATATTTTCCAAAAAAAAAGAAAAGAGAAAGAGACGTCACCTTCGCCGTTTGATTCCTCTAAATAAAACGCAATCATACAAACGGGATAAAACCAGGACTGTATTCGCAATGTCTCCGCATTCCGTAGGGGAGACGGAAAGGTTGCGGTGCGGCACTTTAGTGCAAGAGATCGCCCCCGTGTCCGCTGGGTTTTCATTAAGTGTTTCCCGTGGGGTTCACCAGGAGATCCTCAGAGGAGGGATTCGCGTTAATTTGACTGATGCCATTTTTTTGTTGTGTGAAGCTATAGCGACTGTTTTTACGCGATCGCCCCTTCGCGCACTTTGCACATTCCCTGCCGACTTGCCAAGGACGTCTGACGGAGGTCCTCGGGCGGACACCAGCATGCAGCCCCCAAAGAAATCAATTCCCGTATGTCCTAATAAAAGCATTATCGCTGCTCACGGTGACACCACAACAGTCATCTCATTGTTCTGAAGCCTCGTACCATCACACCCGCACACTTTAGCGGAGTAGCGTTGCGCTGCAGAGACAGCATCACACGTCGTGTATTGCTTTCAATTTATATATGTGTATGTGTGTGTGTTTGTACAAGCACTAGGCGCGTGTGTTTTAATGTTTGTGCGTTTGCATGCGTGTGTGCGTGGTTGTGCGTTTCCTATCCCGTGCTTGTCGTTTCCACAGCTATCCATTGGCTTTCTCTTACGCAGAGCCCTCCAATTGCTTCGATTTCACCACTGCACCCTGAGACACAAGAGGATTAATTATTAACTGCAGAAATACACAAGTGTCGAGTCGACCCACGCCGGGCTAAAGTATTTGTATGACAAACACACGCTTATATAACATGAGATTCAAACTAATCTGTCAGTTTTACGGATGCATCTGAGTCTTCTTCAGCTAGTAATAGACCACGAAGGGAAGTAATCGAATAAAATTTAATGAAACAGGTATAGTAATTACAGTATAAACTGCTCTGTTTCTACTTCGCAGTAAGTTAGAACTCGTTGGAGGCAGAAGCGGATCCCTTGCGAAGTCTCGGACCGCTTAATAACTGACTATATCTAACGGTCCCAATATTACAGCGTGTCTTTTAGACAATATTATGGTATTATTTTTAGTTCAGCCATAACTATAGCCTAACTATGGGTGTTGTAGGTCAAACAACATTGCACATGTACATATGCGGCTACACATGGGCACACATACTAGAACACCGACAGATGCATAACCATCCATCCATCCATAGCTGTTTCTATGCAGAGTCGTGGGGGGGGGCAAGCCTAAATTACGCTACACAGGGTGGGCTACGTGACGTAAAATCGCGAATAGCTGAATGTTTTACGGCTACAAAACCGAATTATCATACAAAATTGTGCTTTCATGCTGAAGGCTCTGTCCTCAAATGGTCACTTAAACGTGTGTCCTTTCAGAAATAAAATATTTTCTCGTGTGAGTATTATGTTGTTTCGATATAATTTTTTTGTCGCATTTTACGAACATTATTTTTTCGTGACCACCAGTAAGCCACCAATTACACATGCAATATATTATTCCCTTGAACACTATTTTGTGTATTATAGCGTGTTTAATAGCTCGACGACGAATCATATCCGTCTTTTTTGCAGAAGATACCTTTTTCCGAAATCTTTAACATAACGTAATAAGTGTTACCCCCCTCCCACCAATAAATAGACATTAGTATATAAATTAAGTTGTGTCACCCCAATATGAAACTCTTTTGCCATTGAACTTGACCAGTGTCTGTAGATACAATCAAGATTCCAATGGGAACCATTTTCCACGCATAGCAAAGCCTGCTGTCACTGTCCCACTTGTGAGCAGGTCTGGCAGCTGTCCTTTGGCAGCTGGAGTATGATTGAAACCAGACCTTGCCAGATCAGACCTTGCATTACCTCTGGGTTTGTATGAGGAACGCAGAAAAAAATCTTCCCTCCTGCTGTCATTCTTGACAAATTTGACTGGGGACAGCTTGGCAAATGAGATTTCCCTTCTGCTGACCCACTCTTAATTGCCACAGCTTTAAAGACTCATCATAAGTAGATTCATTCAGCCTTCACAAGCAGCACGTAACATCAGTTACATTCTTGGTATCAATGTACCTATTGCTGTCCAATGCCAATGTGACTCTACATACTGCTGCTGACAGAAGAGCTCGCATGATACAATAAACATGCAGCGACAAACTTACAAAGGTACACAGTGCAAAAATTTAAGGCCATAACGTTATATAGATAAGAGGATTAGTGCTACTGAGGAATAATGCAATACTACAGTTACTGCAGAGTGATAAAGCGTATTAGTCTATGCTAGATCCAAATGTTCACGAGAACTTTGACTTCAAACATTTAAGATCTAGTGGTAGTTCATTGGAAATTGACCAATTTGGCAGAAAATCGGAGAGCTGGCAGAGCTGAGGGTGCTTCATTTAGTGAGGGCTCTTACCAAGATCAAGCTTTGGATGGACCATCATTACATTACAGAGCTGTGGCTATTGGTCCACACTGTACTGTTCTGAGAGCTGAGGTTGAAGCTGGGTAGAGCTTCTTGGTCGGTTCATGTCAGGACACCCAGGCAAACTCCATACATGGCTGGTGATGCATTTCCACCTGTTTTTATCTTTACTGATATATTTCAGGACCCAAAACAAGACAGCGCTGACTAGATGTGGCACATGTCTTGGAGGCACTGACTGAGCAACCATTTAGTAGACAGCATTGTTCATCAAAAACTACTCTCCACTGTTGCTAAAGACACAGGCTGGAATCAAATAAGAGTTGGAATTGCTGCGATTTCACAAACAGCATGTTTTCACACTGTTTTTCTGGTATATATAGACATATCTTTTTACATGGCTGAACTTAACACATACATAATATCTGAGAAGGATGGATTTGTTCAAATTGCTACAACAAATTCATTTACACAATATCAGCTGTGTATGAGCATCATTTTTTTCTACGAATGACCCAAGACAATCAGCAAATAGTATGTTTTGCGATTGCCCGATTAGGAGACGTAGTTCTGATTTCATCAATATTTAATTTTAGTCACCTTGTTATTCTGGTTTCTTTGTGGAAACATTTCTCAGTCAGTGCATCAGATATGGGCCGGATGAATTGTGAAGTTTCTCTGTGCTGTGATCCAAGATGAATTACAGCCATATTATGTTCTTTTTTCCCCACAGCATTGAGCTCTGGTATCAATGATAACGGACACATTTTAGTGCCACCACATAGGTGTTACAGTGACTATTACTGTATAGATGATTATTGGCAAACGTTCAGGGATTAAAAAAAAAATGCAAGTATATTAACCATTTAAACCTCGGGGTGCTCTAGTTAAGGGTATTACCACGTAAATAGTTACTTCTACAGGGCGGCTTTTAGTGAAAACCAACTGGCTCCACACATACCACTTATTTACGACTGTGTCTGTTACTGTGCCCTTCAATGTCCCAGGGTTACAGCTTCATGGGGTCTCAGCCCCCACATGCAGGCCATCAGCCCACTCTGTCTCTTAGCTGCTTTACTGCCAGAAGGCGTAAGGCAGGAAGCCAGATGATCAGCTACAAGAGAAGGCAAAACAGTGTGTGATACTATGAGGAGCAAAAAACAGAAGAAAATGAAACCCAGTGATGAGGGAACATTATAGCACGTCTAGTGGGTTTCCAGTCATCATTCAGCTCAGTATCAGGTACCCCCCTCTTACCAAGTAATACCGCATGTTTTCACTGTACTTAGCATATTTTGCACACTGTATTTATTCCAGAAGTCCTTGCACTGACATAGACTCTTGCAATTTTTATACTTTTAACAACAACAGGTCCACATTGTATATTAACCAAACTGCATGTGACCACTATCTTGTCTTAATCATCTGTGACAAAGTTGGACAAACAGCTCCAAAGATGTCTTTTCCCCCAAAACTGGTGTAGCCGAAGTTCAAACTCTCTTTGAATCTGTTTCTTCCTCAATGGCAACATTCATTTAAATGCTAGGTCACCAACATTGTTGCTTGGATTGTAATATACTAGATATTATATATTTAAGGAGGAGATAAAGACCATGTCTATGTATCCCTGTTCTACACTGAAGGGCCCAAATGTTGGTATTATCATGGGCTGAACATATGTCCATGAAATTAAAATAAGCCCAGTATTGAGGTAACCTAATCTTTTCAATAAAATAGATTATTGAACACTTCAACTCTCAAAATCAGATAATTAAGGGTATGACAATTTGAAGTTCTGGGATCGTGATTGCTGATTGGTGATCACTGTTCAACCCACAACTAAATTAATGACAAACAAACCATTATGAAATCCCTCTTACCAGATTTTTTACTGATGGTGCATTCAAAGCTCTTGATCTGAACACAACATAGACACACTGGCCACTTTATTAGGTATACCTTGCTAGTACCAGGTTGGACCCCCTTTTGCCTTCAGAACTTCATGGCATAGATTCAACAAGGTGCTCTAATCATTCCTCAGAGACCTTGGCCCATGTTAACATAACACCACACAGTTGCTGCAGATTTGATGACTGCACCTTCATGACGTGAATCTCGTTACACTATAGGTGCTCTACTGCAGGGTTTCTCAACCCGGTCCTCGGGGACCACCAGACGGTCCATGTTTTTGGTCCTGCCAATTGGGAGAGAGCAAAAACGTGGACCGTCTGGTGGTCCCCGAGGACTGGGTTGAGAAACTTTGCTCTACTGGATTGAGATCTGGTGACTGTGGAGGCGACCTGAATGCAGTGAACTCATTGTCATGTTCAAGAAACCAGCCTGAGATATGAACTTTGTGACATGGCTCATTTTCTTGCTGGAAGTAGTCATTAGTAGCTGGGTACACTGTGGTCATAAAGGGATGGACATGATCAGCAACAATACTCAGGTAGGCTGTAGTATTTAAACAATGCTCAATTGGTACTAAAGGGCCAAAAGTGTGCCAAAAAATATCCCTCACACTATTACACCAGCAGCAGCCTGAATTGTTGATATGACAGGATGGATCCATGCTTTCATGTTTAAAACAAATTCTGACCCTACCATCTGAATGTTGTAGCACAAATTGAGATTAATCTGACCAGGCAACATTTTTCCAATGTTCCATTGTTCAATTTTGGTGAGCCTGTGCCGACCGTAGCTTCAGTTTCCCGCTCTTAGCTGACAGGGGTAGCACCTGGTGTGATTATCTGCTGCTATAGCCTATCCGCTTCTAGGTTAGACGTGTTGTGTGCTCAGTGATGCTCTTTTGCATATCATGGCTTCAGCCCATTCTCTGTAAACCCTAGAGATGGTTGTGCATGAAAATCCCAGCAGATCGGCAGCCATACCACGTTCACTTAAATCACCCTTCTTCCCTATTCTGGAGTTCGTTGTGAACATTAACTGAAGCTCCTGACCTGTATCTGCATCATTTCATACACTGTGCTGCTGACATAGAACACCTAATATGGCCAGTGAGTATATATGAAAAGTTCATTTTTAGGTCAGCCACAGGAAAAATCTGATCAAATCTGATCAGTTAGGCAAATTGTCATAGTTATATTTGAAATATTCAAAGCTCACTAGCAACTGCTATATGGAAATTATATCAGGCTGTTTAATTCTTATCTGTACCTAACTAATGGACTGGCAACACACAGGGACCTATTACCTACTGCTAATCAATCAAATGCATTGTGCATTTACTATAGAGGATGTTACATCATAATTATAACTGATAAGTATTCAAAATTCAAGTCAAAGTTTCTGCAATCCAGTTGAATTGAGGGCTGATATACATAGCATGTCAATGAAAAATTTTGTTTGGTTACATTGAGCCATATGAACAAAAAGTCACAGGGAAATGCACGTTTCCCCTGCTGTAAAATTCTTATTCTGTAGATGCAAAGCAGAGGATTTAAACGAAAAATATTCAATTAAACAAGTATTAAGGCGCAGGAGGCATGAAAGCAGAATCATGAAAGCAGAATCATGAATTAAGCCTTGAATCTCAGGGTTTAAAAGTGGCTTTAGAACAGAAAAACATTTACCCAGAGCTTCATGGATCTTTGCTACCATTGCAAAGGAAACGGAAATGAAACCTTATTGATAATTTAAAAAACCACCAACCTTTAAAAGCAGTTCCCATCAGCATCACATACCATAATCAGAATGACATTTCAGAAGCATTTAGGCAGGTCAGCACAGATCAAGGCATTTGTTCAGTTGGGCTAATGACTATTTGTAGTGAGTTGAAGAGGTAAGGATAAACACGTGATTTTGAATTTTACTTTGTCATAAAACCTACTGTCTGCTCTGAGGAAGTAAAACATCCTTATTAAACAGGTTTGTAACGTATAATCAGGCTTGTAATGGGTGTTTTCATAAGCTGACAATCTCAAAGATTGCCAGGTTGAACTTTGAGCCGTCACAACTGAATTATGTGGACAAAGAATTATGCAGACATTATAATCAGGCCAGCATTAAGCTAAAGTGATCAAATTTTAAAGGCTGGTATGAAAACAAATGGATCAGGGTGATCCTGTAATACCCAGTAATTTATTAATCACATGATGTATTTGCCTTCATAACATAGTACATTTAGCTGACAAATATAATTAGTGGTTTCTTAAGCATTTTTACTTCCTACAGTATCATTTAGAACAAGTGGGGCAAAATGCCAGATGGTTGCTTAAATGTGCCCAGGTAAGAAGGCCACAGCCACCCGTGAGTCTACACGGCGACAGAAAAAGAATGAAAAATAATGTAGGAGGGGATGTGTCAATCAGATAACCTCAAAACATGAACGGTCACATGGTACGGAAAGAAATATGGCAGGGCAGGGAGTTTTGGGTATGCAGCGGTATCCAAGGAAAACCACCTCCTGGGGGCTGACGGCAGTTTGGCAGCTGGATTGTACATCAGTGTCTTCCAACAAGAAGAGTGGCGTGCAATAAGATGAGCCCTTATTTCACCAACGAGCTAATTACGATTTCACATTAGCTAGCGATTTAAAGTGACTAATTCAGAAACAGATTAATATAAAATCAGACAGTGTAGCAATCACCAACCGTGCTTAAATGTCAGTGAGGTGTTTAAAACATTTGATTTTACCAAGCAAAATACTTGATTGAAGCGCAGTATTAAATGCGGTGTTTACAGCAAACCAAATACATCATACCCACCTCAATGCAAAGAAATCATAGTCTATTATGCACAGCCTGGAGCAAATGGCAGCTGCATGAACAATCTTCAAGCAAAAAACTTAAATAAATGTCTTGCTAAATCTACAGACCCACAAGAAGTTGTGCTTGGAAAGTCTCATGTGGTCCCCAGGGTTATAGACGTGGTAACAAAATAATGCCAGTAATTACAGTCGAACCTCGGTACAACGTACCCCGTTTATAACGTTGACACCAATACAACGTTCAAATTTCAATGTCCCGAATTCGCTTAATGCATTATTCCATTTGCCGGTATCGCTTAGAACGTACACCTTTACAGCGTAAACTTCGATTTAATGTATGATTTTCAGAGGAAAATAGGCAAACTGACCTTCGTTACAACGTACAGCCTCATCTTCCGAGCGCGCGCACAATTCAGAATCGGCTGTTGCCGGCCATCTACATCGCTTAGCAACGCCTAACTGTATGAACCTATCCTCACGAAGCATTCCACGCCGGCCGGACTCCTTGCATGCAGCCCCCGTTTTTTCATGGTTTTGCATGGTATTGAAATTTATTTCAGCCAATTGAATCATACAGGTGCATAATTTCGGTTTGACATTAGGTTCCAGTAAGGCGATTTGAACGATAAGCCGGAAGGTTTTTGCGTTATGTCGGCTGTCTATGAGTAACTGATATTAAGCTAGTTTGAAGAATATAGTTCCTATTCAGAATAGGAACTATATTCTTCAAACTACACAAGCTGTATGTCATATTGTCAACTTGAGGGGTGTTTTATAAAAGTTTTTTTATATACATTTTGTGTTCCATCATTCATTTTGAGGGACTTGGTTACAACGTACTATGGTTATAACGTACAAATTCTTAATGCCCCCCGAGGTACGTTGTAACGAAGTTCGACTGTATATAGCTACTGAAAATTAGTCTTACACCAGCTATGCCCTTCTCTGGTTGCTCAGCAGGCAAACTAAACTGAACACGGTGTATGACACCAACATCAACTGTAAGCACAGAACACCCAGGCAAATTTGTGAAGCCAAATATATTTTTATTAATACGGTATGTATAATTTTACAAAACCAGAGTTCTAAACCCAAATAATAGTAATTTCCACTCAAGAACTGATTTATGCAGACTATGCAGAATCTAAACTGCTTAACAGCCATCCTCTCCTCTCTCTAGGGAGGGGGACTGGTACAGGAACCAGCATCGTTCACCCAGCCGAAACGTGTCTGTAAAACACCTACAGAAAAATCAAACGACACACAACGACAAAACGAAAATCTAACGAAACACACAATGGAATGATGTAAAAAAGGGGATAGAAAGGTGGGTATAGGGACCTGTGATGGTGGAGGATGAGGGTAGAGACACTGCAATCTCACTCACAGCAGTTACAATCGAAAGTTATAAAAGCAGGACGGCAGCACACTCAGCAAACACTCGAGGGGAGTGGAGAGGGGGAAGATTCAAGAAAATGGTAAATGCTTCCTCTGCGTCCAGCTTGCAGCCTCTTTTTGGGGATAGAATGCACTCTTGTATTTGAGGTAAGAGCATGTTGAGTGTGGGAATTACGGGAAATACTACTGCAGCATAGCAAACGTCAGCAGGACAGACCAAGTCAAAGACTCAATACTGAAATTATTACTGAAATGGACTCACAGCCGACACTGCTAAATTAAATCAAGTAATGACAAAGACAAACAGAATGCTGTAGTTTCTAATAATTAGAATTAGAGATAACATTAAACATGAGTACAGTGATGCATCTTCCCGCTTCCTGCTTTTAACACACCCAGCAGATCGGGGTAAGGGCAGACTTTAAAAAATGCCATTTTGGTCTCCTGAAGGAAACGCCAAGTGAATAGAAATGGCTTCATTTGGAGGACTTTGTGTAGAGGGTAATGGTGTGGAACACAGCACCTTGTCTTGGCCAACAGCTGAAAGGCCCAAAATGTACAAGATCAAGAACAAGCTTTGGAGACACAACGAATGCTGCAGGAGACCTTTTAGGGGAGATTGCTCCAGCAAAGACGATTTGGGGAAGAGGAGATAAACAGGGCTGTAGTATCTAGAGAACAATGGCAGGTCCCTCTAGGCAGACTGAAGGTGACATCTGACAACACCACTCGTCAGAACAATGTCAGAGAGGAGGAGACAGTATAAAGTATTCATGATTGGGGTTGGGTGGGCGTGGTCAGGGGAGGTGAAAGGGTGACAGGGAGACATTAGTGTGTGGTAAAATGGTCCTGATTAAGCCCTGCAGCCAAGGCCAACGCCCTCACACACTTACAGACAAGTGAACACCCCCCCCCCCAACCCACTACCACGGTCTCTGTTTTCCAGGTCAGTTCTTCAGCACAGTCTCGTAGTACTGGAACACGTACTGGGAGACTTCAGGAGCTCTGCACTTCAGGGACAGCTGCGGACAGGAGATATGAAGAGCAGTTACCACAGAAGAATGAGGCTCTCCTCTGTGAATCTCCCAAGACGGCTGTCATTACAGCTTATCCGCTGGATGTCTCTTGACTATGCATGCATTTACCAGTCATTTTTGCAGTTGAGGAACTGAATTAAACAGCACAAGTCAGGATGCAACACATCAAAAAAAAATCTACTTTTACCTAAATCAGAAACCCTTCTAACAGACCTTGGAAGCCATATTAATTAAGGAAAAGCTTTTAAGATGAGAACAGGAAATCAGAAAATCGGTGTTAGATTTTTCACCGCCTTTGTCATTTCCCAATTTGTCCATGACTCAGCACCCTGCTCCAATCTACAAGCCATCCAGCCGTTTGTCGAGTCACACCCCTACCGGTAAAGTTTGTCTTCATGCTGTGAATCACCAGGTGCGTTTGATAAATGGCTATTGGAAGAGAGACACAATCCCTGCTGTTGGGAACCAGGGACTCTCAGGTGCCTGGCAGGCCAGTCAAGATGCTGACGGCCCATTTAACCCTCCCACGGTGCAGTGACAGCCGTGTCCTTTCGGAACAGCTTTCACTGACTGAGCCGCTAAGGGGCACCTTGCAGTAATCGCTACGGTGGCAAAATACTGTCTCCCACTCAGCCGTAACTCAGGTCTTTCATTCTATTGGCTTCCAATAATTAATGCCATCAATCCACCACAGCAGAAAGGCTTTTCTCCCCCCATCTTCCATTTTTGGTTTTTGAATTTCATAGTCTAGCTTTTCTCTAAAAATGTTCCACAAGAGAGAACCTAACACTGCCTACCAGAACCCAACCAGAAGCAAGTTATTTGTTGGAGTGTAACTCCTGGTTTAGGTCATTTCTGACTGAGAACTGAAAAGTGCAGTCAGGGGAAAGTGTGGCACCCATGTGTAACAGCAAACAAATGCCTCCCACAAGCGCCAGTAACATTCCACGCAACTGGAGAAGTAAATGTCGCTTGACACAAAGTCACATTTCACTGTCTCTGGCCTGTTTTAGAATGATGGGCAAAGGGGTGCATTTATTACTGTTCTGCAGTGGAAGCCTACATGTAGAATGAGGGAAGCGAAGAGACAGAGAGAGGGCAGAAAAAGAAATGAGGGTGGGAAGTGGAGGAGGCAGCTTAGGACAGGGAGAGACAGGAGAGACCAGTGATGAAACTGGCAATATGGTTTACACTGGGACGCAAGACAAACCAGTAGGGAGAGAAGCAGCAGAGGTGGAAATGAATGGAACAATGAACATAAAATAAAGTGTGAGATGGGGGGGGCGCTGACAGAGACCGAACGAGAGCGGAGCGATGTGGGGAATTGTCGCAGCGCCTGACATTCTTACACAGCTTGAGCAATCAGCTCCTCAGGGGGTGAGCTGGCTCACACATTGGCCACACAGTTACCATGGGGACAGTGATCAGCCATGAGGGTTTGTCCCCCCCCCCCCCTTCAAAAATCTGCCCTCCTGAGAGGAGCACAGACTCATGGGAAGGGCTCATACGAAAATTTACAGCAGAGGCTAAGTACTGTCTTTTTAAAGGGTCATAATTAAACTGGTGAAAGTTTAATTGTCCCAGAATTGTTCGTTTTTAAAGAAATAAAATTGAATTACATTAGCGCAGGAAATTTACAGGCAACATTACTGCAATGCATTTATATCAGGGGTGTCCAATCTTATCCACAAAGGGCCGGTGTGTATGCAGGTTTTGGGATAACCTGTAGGTCAGCTGTTCAAACCCAGGCGTGAGGACTCTACAGCCAATCGGTCTCCTAATTAGTAATCTAATTAGGGAGCTGCAGCAAAAACCTGCATACCCAATGGCCAACGTCTTGTGGGTCTGTAGATTTTTTATTTTTTTTGAAAATTGTTTATGCAGCTGGCATGAAGATTGCCCACCACAGCTTTAAATGTGGCACCGCACTTAACTGAGCAAACACTACAGTTGACTAAATGTCTAACATCATCCTTAATTTCAGCACTGCAATAAAAACAGTGGAATCACCCTAGAAAATAAGTAAGTTAGGAAATGAGAGTAGGGAAGGAAAATAAGACTGGAAGCATGGGCCTGGGAGGCGAACTGTTAAGACTAACCTCCAAATCCTGAACACAACATGTTAACAGCAAAAGGGGGAGGCAGAGGAAGGAACAAAAAGAAACCATGAGGAGACGTCAGATTCCACAGACTAACACGGGGAGAGTGACGAATGTGAAATAACGCAGGAGCCAGAGCAGTAAGACACTGCGCCAAGTTCAAACTGGATGGGAGAGCGGCCATCGCACCAAACTGTGCAGTCTGTCAAGCATGGCTGACAGAGTGGGGGTGCAGCATGTATTAAAGCTGGCCACTGTTCATACATACAGCTCTCTATATCAGACCTAAGATTCTCAAGATGAAGTGTGTCCTCTGTCTTCTAACTGTCACCATACCAAAGGGTCTGACCAGTATCCATCTCAAATGACACCCCCTTGGCTCCAGGTCATTAACCACTACACCCTCTGCTGGCCCATTCCCTCCACACACCGTATAGTTGGGGCTCCCAGCCTGGAGTCGCAGCTCAGCCAGCACCCAGATGCCGTTGGAGAGCTTCATGGACTGGTACAGCATATCCTGGCCGTCCACTATACGCTTGGCGATGGTGAACATGTTGCTGCTCTGTAGCTTATTGCTAGCAGCATCTGGGGGGGGGGGAGGGATTCAAACATATTTACTGTGATGCAGCAAAAATAGCCTTGAGCTTAAAATATCCCACCTAAGGCCGCACTGGGCATGAGTGACATGCTGGCTTCCTCAAGATGCTTCACCTGAGTTGATATGGCAGTCCTTAATTTGAAACTGAGCCTCGTTTTCACCGGTGATGTCCTTCCAGGTGGCCAGGAACACCTGACGTTCTGTGGGGAGAGAGGCGGAGAGGCTGGATGGGACCCTTCTTCAGAATAGTGTGCCACCCTCCACCCCCAGAGTAGCCTGTGGGGCACAGCACTGCTGCCACCCATCATCAATTACTGGCTCAGCCCCCATCCTCTATTTTTACTAAGAGGCGCTGCTTCAGTTTTGGGGTGAGTTGACTCAAAATTTGATCATTTCCGAAATTTGATCATTGGCATTACGGCATGCTTAGTTTAAAAAAAGAACGATCAAATAATTTTTGAGTTATTGTGCTAACAAGAATGTGTCTGCGGCAGCCCCATCCCAAAACCATGTATATTCCCTGTCTAGGGGAATACAATCAAAAATGATGAAACCCACCAAATTTTTTGACAAACATATTCGAGATATTAAATAAAGGCAGGATGATCCCATAGATTTCCAGTCTAAATCATCACGGATTAAATGCAAACCTTCATAACGCTGCGACTGCCAAGCCGAGGAAGACTTTTCAAGGGCGTTTCTGAGTAAAACGGGCTGTACAGAGCAATGGTGAGCGTCACCGCCAGTTATATAAGGAGCAGGGTCACACAGCCTCTTAAGGAGCGATGGCGGGGAGTGGGGGGGGGGGGGGGGCGGAGACTCACCCATCTTCCCATCCTCCACGAACAGGATGCTGATGGGGTACTGGCAACTAAAGTAGAAGACATCAATGTTGTTCTTCACAGCCACCTGTGGGGGGATGAGCAGATAGATATCTGTATGAGGAGTTTATTTATATGTATTTTTTCCCCCCCGGGGGGGGGGGGGAGACTGGCACGGGCTCAGCCTACCGCGAAGCCAGCAGCCAGCGCCACGTGAGCGGTCCTCCCTGTTCCCTAGCAACGCTTTCCCCACGGCAACTCCCACCACTGTAACTGCCTTTCCCTGACGATCTTGCGAGGCCAGTGAGACAAAAAAGGAGCATATAAGCACCCTTTGCCCCTTTCGAAGTTCCACGTCTGCCAGCTGCCTGGCCCTCTTAATGCCAAACACATGTACTAACACACATACAGATCACTTCTCTCGCTGACGGAGTCTTTCTGACAAGAGAGAAATGTGTGCATGACTTCATTCATGCTTCCTATCCTGATGTCATTGGGGCTGAATTTTAATGGGAGGATGCATCAGTCGTATTATTATCAGACAGCTATGCGAAGCTTAGTGGACCAGCCTAATGACCAAACCCCAAAGAGCCATCGATCTGCCTCTCTCATCTGGGGAGTGAACACACTATCTGATGCCATATATGTCTGCAGGTGCCCCTGTCATCTGGGGAGTGAGAACACTGTCTCACACTGCGTATTCATGCAGTGACAGGAGCATTCCTTTTCTTACCAGCACCGAATTAAATGCTGATTAGTGCAGAGACACTGGTTGAAGAAACAAACCTGCAGGTTGTTGAGGGGTTCCATCTTCATCACGGGTCCCACATTGTTGAGTGGCAGGCTCACTTCGATGGTCTGGTTTGGGCTGAGGGGTGTGAGGACCTGAAGGGGACCAGCCGGGGCCAGCCCAAAACTGCCCAGAACAAGCCAAATGAGAATTAAGAGGGTGGAATGAAGGGGATATCCCAGTTAAATCTGAACACAATTCCATGGTAGTGTTAGGACTGGCTCACCTGTTTCGGTTGAACTGGATCGCAAAGTCCGTCATGATGCTCATGGCCTTGTTGGTGAGAGATAGCTCCATCTGGATGACACCAGCACGTCGGGAAAAGGTACCAGAGATCTCGAGGCCTTTGGCTTTCATGGCAGGTAGCCACACCTGGAAGGTGGGACAGGAACAGCCCATGGTGCTGCTGGAGTCTCACACGGTAATGCACAATAGTGTCCTAATCACGCTAGTCCAAAAATTTACATTGGTGTGCAGCATTTTAACAAAAAGGAATCAAGTCAAAATCAATCAAACAATGTATTCCTGCAGGTTGCATCATTGGCTTAACCGATTGGTCAATGGCATATACAATAAACTGGTCTGCAGCCTTCCAGTGTGCTACTTTTCTTTCTAACTATATACCAAGTGTAAAAGGTCAGTAAGCTTTAACGATGTTCCTATTCACTTGCAAGAATGGAATTGTGGGAAAGCTCACTGGACTCACAGATTTGGGAGCAACATATGCGCCTGTCGTCATGCCCATGCTGCTGCCAAGGTCAAACAGGTCACCAAGACCACCTCCGACAGGCGCATTGAGAGAGGCCGGCATGACTGCAGGAGCTCCTGCAAAGCCAGCACCCATCTATGGGACACAACACCGAGGGAAGAGGGTTTACAAGCAGGGATACACCTATAACGCTTAAAATGTGCAGCGCTTTCTTGTGATAAGTGTAAATGAACATATAATAAGCACACATTTGCGCCGAAAGAGCGGCACAAATTTGAAAATGAAAGGTTAATAAGCTCTGTACAACTTACCGCTGGACTTCCGCCAATATCTCCACCAAGCTGTCGACAAACAATAAAAATTTAGTACAAGACATTAGCCATGAATTCATAGCGGAGAACAGGTGGTGAATGAGTTGGCTCAGCAGACATGAGAAGGGACGGCCCTAGAGATGAAGGTGAGAGAGTGCGCAGTGGAGTGCATTATGGATGCTGGAGACAAGGTCAATCATAAGGAGAGACCAGAAGGCTTCCAGTGTGGGAGGATGGGATGACTGATGGACACAACGAGGGAGATGCAAAGCAAATGGGTGCTGAGACCACATGGTGATCCAACAAGGGCAAAAAGGCGGTCTGCAGAAAACTGCTAAATGGAAGTCTGGTTCAATAGCCTTTCAAGACCAGCAGGGTAAGGATCAACACAGAACTCCCAAAAGAGGCCGGCTAACTCAATTTCATAACCCAATCAATCTTATAGTGGTGATGGGCTGGATTCCACTCTATGGTGATACTCAACCCTGAGAAGAACCGAGTGTGACTCCAACCTGGCTTGGTCACCGAGTCCAAAAAGACAAACCATTAAGGTCAATGATACCTGTGGTCTCCATTTGTGCTGGTGTGCTAAGCTATGGCATTTAGTAATGTCCGGTGAGAGGGGAAATGAGAAAGGAACATTTAATCTCATCCATGATGTGCCCTAAACTCAAAGAAGGGCTGGTGTGACATGTTAAAACTGACCTCAAAGACCGGAAAAAGACTACTATGACACAACACAGAGCTGCATTGGAGAGATGGGAGGCAGTGATGGGATGGGATGGAATGAAATGAACTACCCTGCCCAACAAAGGACGTGACAGAAACCTTCCCATGTATGTAATTACCGGTTCAGAATCATCACCCATCTGCAGGTGTTGAATTGCATTCAGAGAGAATAAAAGAAAAAAAAAAACAGGAGAAAAATAAAATCATGAGAAGCAGAATTTCAGGTAAGGCAGAAACACCCATCTTGATGGATAAATTAATCGGTACTCAGTCTGTATAGGACTCACTACCTGAGTGCCAGGGATCGTAAGGAACCAGTTTATGTAAAATGCACAGGGCCTGGATGGGTCATTGCAACCTGAGACTACATGCACTGGCATTCACGGTGGGGCCACCCACCAGGGTGTCCAGGCCACTACCCAGCAGGTCCACAGCTCCCATCTGCATGCCGGAGGTGGGGGCTGGGACACTCCCCGAGGCTGGCGGTCCCAGGTCCAGGTTGAGCAGATCTCCCAAAAGGTCGCTCTGGGACGGGATAACGGCAGGGGTCGCTTCAGGTCCGGTGCCTCCAGGCTGACCCACCTCTGGGCTCTCAGTACTCTCACCCCTGGAGAAAGTGAGAAAGAGTATCCATTTCTATCTGTAATCCTAGATAACAGTAGAGCAAAAAATGTACATGCTATAGAACGTTCTAGAAATACCAGTGCAAGACAACACAGAGGTACTCACGAGCCAGACCGAGGAGGAAGTCTCTTGTGTTGGACACCTCGACTGCCCTCCACAAAGGCGCTGGGAGGCTTGTGGTAGACAGAGGCCAGAGTGCCAATGTGGCAAATGAGCTCCTCCAGCAGAGTGGGCTCAATAAGGTCTGTCTCCTCTGATATCAGTGGCTTCTCCGCCAGCACCACCTCCTTGGCTGCCACTGGGTCCGTGGAGAGCAGACGCCAGTAGATGTAGCCGCGGTCCCGCAAATCAGGGTTGTCAGAATCCTAGAGGAAGGGAGGATGGTGAGACAGGGAGTGAGGGGAACAGGAAGGAAAAGAGCAAGAAGGGAAGCAAGAGAATGAAGAAGATACAAGATAGGGATTGGGAGATAAAAAAGCAGATAAGCAAGCAGCAATAGAGAGGCCATTGGGAAGGAACAGAGACTAAACTACAACTCAAAACATGAAACGCAAAATCATAAAACTGCTTCCGCAGACAGAATGCAGGTTGAATCCAAATGCACCAGGCAGCCAGTCTTGATGTTGCTGGCAACCTCAGACCTGGACAGTCCTTGCCCCTTCTGTCAGTGCACCACCCAACACCACGCCAATTAGATTCAAGGATCAGTTCTCCATCACCACCACAGATGAAGGTGTCATATCTGGAAAATCATTAATCTGTCTATGTGAGGAAAGAGGTGACTGGTAGGTTCACTTTTATTTTTAAAGGGAACAAAATGAAGCATCAGGATGCTGTAAACTAAAACAGCAGCAAAGGGTTAAGCAAGGACCTTCTGAGGCTTCAGAGCTATAATGGGAGAAATTTCACTTAAATCCTTTTTCCAAAAAAATGATAATAATAATTTTAAAAAACCATAAAAAATGTACAGATTCACATATCCAAAATGCATACCTTTGAATCTCTTCACGGTTCAATCCAGATGTAAAACCTTTTAAAGACATACCTCCCACTAATTACTAACTGAACACATCCATTCTGCTCGGTGGTGAAAAGCTGATCCATTCACCTTCCATTCTCTTATACAATGCAAAGTCAGGAGAAGCCCGCAGCCTGTCTCAAGCAGCATATGACACAAGGCAGGGTAACAAGAATGCTGGCCCATCCAAGGGAGACACACTTACACACATCGCACTCTATCAGCAATCTACAGACACTAATTTGCTGCAGGCGTATCTTTAAACTGCAGGAGTCCCCAGAGACGTGAGTGGTGAGCAAACAGTGCTGCCCATGGAGCCAATGTGCCTGGACAGGGGAGCGTGGACTGGGCTGGGGGGGCGTGGACTGGGCTGGGGGGGCGTGGACTGTGCTTCCCATATGATGGTAAAGCAGCTAAATCGACAGCTGACCAGAAAAGGCCCTAGAGATAGGGACGACCCCTCACCTGTGTGGCCAGGCTGAGCACTTGCTGAACCAGCTCCTGTGTCTCCGTGGGCTTCTTCAGGAAGAGCTTCACTATGGCTGTCAGCAGCTGCAGCTGGACCTGTGTAACCGCAGAGGAAACCAGTGAGATGACGGGACCAATGACAGCAGACGCATGCAAAGAATGCGCATTGCAAGATTCCTCAAAATCTTGTTCACATCTTGAGCTTTATGTCTGAAGCCTTTAAACCCAGACTGGAGATGTTACGGCTTTGAAAAAGCTTCAAACACTGAGAAACTGAGAACAATCCAGAGTGTAGGAGAGTGAGGAGTCCCAGACCCTGGCTGACCTGGGTACTTTCATCATGGAAGCCCTCCAGGAAACTCTCCAGCAGCTCGTCTGCATTGTCAATACGCTCAGCATATTCGCCCACAATCCAGATCATGGCCGCACGTGCTTCCGGCTCATCCAGGGAGTCCAGGTTCTCGCACAGTGTGGCAATAACACTCTCGTACCTGGAGGGGGCAAACAAGGTCACACCTCAAAGCCCCAAAGCAGCAAAACTGGACTAGATTAATAATTTACAGTGAATACTCAATGACTGCCTAGTGGGATAATATTTATAAATGCAAGCTAATTATGCAGATATCTCTAATGGGACAAGACCAACTGCTGTTCAATGTCTAAAAGCCTCTCAATTTCCTCAATTTCTTGTCTCTTGTGGAAAAAACATATATATGGCTAATCTTTAAAAAAAATCAATTTACGGTTGAAATTCATGTTCAGACAGCATGAGATTATCAAGTTAGCTCCCTCCCTGATGAAAACTTGCAGTTCATGGATTCAGCTGCCATTGCTATAGTTGTACTGGTGTTACACACTGTGCAGAAATTTTAGGGTACAATTCTGACTGATCAACCTACTTGTTGGGGTATTTTCGGAAAATGTCCTTTATGACGACAATGGCCTCCTGCACCACGTAGTTGACTTTGGTCTGGATGAGGTCCAGCAATGTACTCACGCAGCGCTCTGCGGATTGCTGATGGACAGACAGGTGATGACAAGATGGTTAAGCGGGGGCACGGTCTGAAAAGTGGCATGTTTGTCCCCATTTGATTCAAAACCATGTGTGCTAGTCTACGTTTCACTTCAACTCCCCAATATCTGAAGTTATTGAGTAACAATCACCTGTACTTGATGGTTCAGGTGATAGAACTAGACTGTGAAAAACCTATGTTACTCTTCATAAATGAATTTTTTATGCTGCTCTTGCAAGCAAAGGTGTTCTAATTTCACATTTCCAAGGACTGTCCACCTAGATTAGTCACACTACACTAGCAGAAGGGGAAGGGGGGGGACTAACCAGGAGAAAAGCAATAAATCCCCACCCCACGCAATGCACTGTCACACAACTCAAAACAATGCAAAGCAGACAGCAGGCAGACGCAGCAGAGGATGAGATGTGGCAGTCAGTGTGATCACCCAAACGCCCAGGCCCTCACCTCCACTTTGATGGCGCAGCGTCCGATGGCGCGGACCGCCTTGCGCACAAAGTCTACATCCACCTCAGTGGCGTATTCTTTCAGCTCCGCGAGGACCTGGAGATGAGATGGGCGATGGCTAAATCAGGACTCCGACTTCCAACAGTCAGACCGGTGATGAGTGCTAAATGATACATATCCATTCCACTGGCAATACCATACTGACTGACTCCGCAAAGCCCATAGTCTAAAAAAAAAAAGCAATCTGAATAGCAAACTGTACACTTCATTCATACGTTTATGAAATAGGCATAACAATGGCCAGGATGATACTGTTTGTTCCTGGGTCATCCTGCATATACAGGGATAAGAGGTAAACACATTATTTGAGGCCAATACAATTTTTAACAGCAGCTAAAATTAAAACGAGAGCATATGAGAAGAGCTGGATAAATAGCAGGCAGTGACACGCACTCCTAAAAAAAGAATGGAGTGCACTTCAAAGCACTGTAGCTAAAAAGGAGACGTATAAGATACACTGACTGACCAAACTATCAAACACACCTTTCGGCAGTCCAATTCTGCATTTATTAATGGAAACGGTGACTGATCTAATAATGGGTTACTGCCTCTCCAGGTAAGGCAGGGGTGGCCAATAATTTCCACTGCACTGCAGTCAGAAAAGCTGAGCTGAGTTGGAGTCGGGTCTACTTGTGTATGCTGGTCGTGGAAATAAGCCAATTCTCCTTCTATCTCACTGCTTCAGAAGGTAGCATGAGGTAAATATATGCCCAGTGCTGCGGACTGTGCTAGGCAGAAGAGGTTCCACTTCGTCTGAGACACGCCACAGCGGACCCAGCGGAACACACCCCTCAAATCGGTCGCTGACGTACGGGCAATTCACCAAAAAAAAAAAAAAAAAAGAAGAGGCTGAACAGAGCAGAGGGTAGTTGCCAGTTGCCAGTGCGGAATATATCCTTGAACGTAGGGACATCTATCTGAGCAAATATTTTCCCAATCACAGGGACTTATGCTCATCAAACAGACACAAAATTCTGGCTTGAGCGCTAGATACGAGGGCCAGCTCCAGTAGATGTAGAAGTACCTTCGGCTGAAAAGAACCTTCCAGTGAAAAGTACTGAAGATACGCATTCGCTCACCTGGGCGATATTCGCTTGAGAGGCAAGCCGGATCATTATGTCAAGCTTTTCCAGCTTGACATAGATGGGGTCGTTGTATTTCACAAAGAACACCTTCATCTCGTGCTTCAGGATTTCTGGCCTGTGGAGAAACAAAGAAGCATCCTAACATTCTGGTGGCAGAATCCCTGCGAGCAGCGAAGAGGCCTCTCAGCATGTAGGAACATTCGCTAAAGCGTTTCGGCATGTTTAGCCGCAGTGAGCAAAAGCTGGAGGCAAAAAGGGGCGACCACTGCTGTTTCCCTTTAACAGCAATGCTAATACTCATACTTCTTCGAGAAACAACTGAAAACAATTCAAACATACCCATTAATTAGGGCCCTGTAGAGCAGTGAAGAGAGTATGTAGTGTTAGTATTACCATTCACATAATGCAGTGTAAAAAATTAACAAGTGGGTCCATCCTGATTATTTATGTGATCATGCATCAGCAGTAGGGGTCTGACTTCATCTGAGGGCCCCTGGTGTCAGAGATGCTGAAAACTCCTGCTATAAATGACCAATCAAGACAATCAGAGCCTGAATGCAGTGCGGGGGCCCAGCTCACCGTTTCTGCACAATGAGGTTGATGTTCCTCAGGGCCACATACTGCAGCTCTGGCTCGGCCGACAGCAGCGTGACCAACGGCGGAGCCAGCTTCTTCAGCAGGGTACCATAGTAGTCCAGGTCCTTGGGCAACATCTCCATGAACTTCATGAGCACCTTCACGGCGGACAGCACCACGGCAGAGTTGGCGTGGGAGAGGCGTGGGGTGACACGCTCACAAATACTGCAGGGGGTGGGAGAGTGTCATGAGGCAGTCATAAACCATGGGATAAAAACCATTCACTTTACACAGTATAGGTAAATTATAGAACATGGCAGAGGACAGATTGGATTTCTGAACACCCAAAACTGACAAACTACTGTGACATTCAAAGATAAGTTACTGTATACAGTAAGATCTCGGACATTCGCAAGGTTACGTTCCAGAACCTGTCGCGAATGAGGAGGATTCGCAGATATTTGGTAGAGTCACTAAAAACAGTAATATGTGCTTTATTCTATAGTTTAAACCCTAAATATGTTCTCAAAACACATTCATTTCATTTAAAAGTTAGCTTAATACATTACCTTTAAAAACCAACCCTTTCAGTGTTTATAGCTAATACATCTCGAGATGGAAACCCGGGATGCATTTGCTATGTACGTAAACATTAGGACCTTTCAAGAATTTTTTTATTTTTGTGTGTTGAATTTACGTTAACGTGTACTTCCTATTATAAAATAATAAATCAACTATTCTCTAATATTTATGTAACCATTAGCGTTCCTGTCACATATTGCTGGGGCACGGACCGGGGAAGCCGGGACAGGACACAAGGAATTGGGGAACATGGGGTTTAATCAAAAGGTAAAGACAAGCAGGACAATGGAACAGGCAGCAAACTCAAAATGACGTTAATGACCGGACTCGGGAAACATATTTAAACGCAGACTTAAATACACAGGACTAATGACAGCAACGCGAAACAGCTGATCACACGGGGATTCCACACGAGGTAGATGAGGGGGCATGGCACACGGGAGGATCGGACGAGCAGGTCATGACAGCTGCAAAGGGAATAAACTATGCGAATGTGATTCGCATCTTGTAAAGGTATAGTACAGTATGTACATAAAAAGGAACGCAGATGTGCAAAAAAAAAATCACGGATGCAGATAAATTCGATTCCAGTGAAATTTTTGCGGATCTGTGAATTCGCGAATCATTAAGCGCGAATGCACAAGAGCTTACTGTAATGAAAATAAAACTCCTATTCTTATTATTCTTATGATAATTATTATAAAAGTTCATTTTGCGTGTGACAGCTTTTTCAGTATTATAATATAGGACTGACATTTGGAGATTCATGCCCTGGAACAACCTGACCTAGGAGAGAAAAATATCATTAAAAATGCAAAAGATGCAGGTGAAGGTGCTACTGGTGAAGACGAGCAACAGACCTCTGGGACTCCCGGTCATCCCTGGGCATATAATTGGCCAGGCAGTCGAGGATGAAGATCTGGCCCCACTCTGTGCATTCGTTGAGTGCTGTCAACAGCTTGTTGATAGTTTGGGGGTTCAGGTCAAGCAGATTGCTGTTCGGGTGAGACTCTGCTATCTCAGAGAGGGCAGCCACTGCATTAGCAACCACCTGGGAGGCAAAGGAGCAGATGGACAAGGCTGGTCTGACCCACAGCATGAAGGACAAATACCCATTACAAGTTTAAACAGCAAGGTGAAAGCCTCCATGTGGTTTCAAGTACAGCAAGTTTAATGCTGAAAATGTAAGTAAGTCGGAAACACCAATCATTCTATGAGTAAGAGGGACAAACTACATACATGTCCAGACTTCAATAACTCTACTAGAGTACTTATACAGAAAATGTTCCTTAACAACCTGCACTTACAACATGGCCATTTTAATACAGTACAGCAATATAAACCTACACTGATTTATCAATCTGAAGAAAGCCCAGGGCACAGAGAGCACCAGAGACACAGACAGCCAATTCTCTTACTACCAACGTTCAAATCAAGAGGGGCCCCACCATAGGGTTGGAGTCAGAGATGAGGTCCTTCAGCGTGTCAAGGAAGCCCTGGTCCTCCACCAGCTGGGCATTGATGTCGTGTAACTTGGCCACGCACACGGCGGCTGTCTTGCGCACATACGGATCCTCATCCTTCAGGCACTTGCGCAGCGGCTCACAAAGGTACTCCGTGATCTTGTCCACACGAATGCAGCCCATGGTCCGCACAGCCAGGGCTCTGATCAGCGGGTTGGGGTCCTCACAGTCCTGGGGGTGGGGGTTTGGAGGAACATAACGGCCTGATGAATGGCGACTTAAGGATATTTCCTGGTTTAAGAACTCACTCACTGCCTACCCCCTGCAGGGGAGTAGTAGCACATGAACACATTCAAAACAAGCTTCAAAACAAACCTGTGTAATCTACCCTGGCACATGCAGCCTCTCAAGCTCAGAGTAGGGCCCGTGTCTTTACCTTAACAAAGGTGTTGACGGCCATGATAGCCATGTCTGGCTGGCTCTTGGCATAGTTCATCAGGTACAGGTAGACCAACTTCTTCAGCTCCAGGTTGTCCGTCTGCATGCAGTTCACCACATCGGGGAAAAGTGCGCTGAGGGGGAAGAAAAAAATTAATAACTGGAACAGACGCTTTTTCAATTACTCAAATATTGAATTATTCAAATATATTTTTAAATATTCATCCAATATACAGATGTGTGTCCAGTGAGAATTACAGACCATTAGATTCTTTTTGTATAGAATATATCAACATCTCTATCCTATATTGGCCTATATCCAAAATCCAAAATGCTCGAAATATGCTTGACCACAATGCCTTGTACCTCAGTTATGGTCCCAAAACAGAAAGAACAGGAACAAAAAACACTAAAGTTCATTTTGCTGTTCTTTTCCATTTTAAACTACCAGTGCTTTACTTCTCTGCCCACAGCAGACATGAAACAGCCTCACCTGACATCCTTGCCCACTGTCATGGAGGCAATGACCTTCTTCACGGCTTCCTTCTTCTTCTCTTTCTTGTCACTGTTTAGCTCAGCTTTGAGTTCAAAAATCTCTCCTAATAATAAAGGGAGAAGGGGATTGTTACGGTTACTTTATAATACTTTATTGTTAGGCATAAGTCTGAAGTTTTTCTTGCATTATAGCAGCTTTAAGGACCACGTGATATCCCGTGAGTGTAAATAATCATTGCAAAACATAAGCTGAATATATGAAACACTACTACTGAATTAATTCTACATACTTGGTTGTTCCCACAATTAAACAAAGGGAATCTAAATATGAATGCAATCAGAATGTGTACAGCCCCGCTGCATAAGCACATAGGAGGCTTGGCACTTGCCCTGAACAAACAGACTTAGAGGAACCACATCACGCTAACACTTTAATATTGGGACTTAAGTGGGCTTCTGCTGACACCTGCTGACCAAACGCTTCCAAATTCGATCACACACAAGCTTCATGCATGGAAAGAGCCGCTAATCATGGCCAAGCAAAACGGCGAGGGAAGAGTGCCCGCACCAGGTGGATATGAAATGCAGCATACACGCAAATGTTTCAACAGATGGCAGAACCAAATTGTTAATTCATTCAAACCAACAAATCTGGCAGGTGACACCTCTTTACAGCTAAAAAGCCAATAGACTTTCATGAAGGTTAACCAGCAAGGGAACAGAGAGCTGGGCTAATACAGTTAAGCTTAAAGCCATCTTATCCTATTACGCCATCCTCAGTTGGCCTAGTCTCAGTTCTGCCTGCCAAAGGAGGGCACCCCAAACCGTCAGACGCTAATTCTGGGCCGTAGCACTCCAAACCTTTACTCTGCGACTGCCATCATTTTCACCCAATGATAGTGGCTACTTTCAGTCAGGCCTGCCCATGATTTCTGTCCACACCCCTATAATTTTTTTTTTCTGCCCGTATGATATATTTTACGTTTCTCAAACACTCATTTTCCATTAGAGATATTGACACAAAAAAATCTTTGCCACTGGCACAATAGCTTTAAAGGTATAAGAACATAAACTGAGACCTGAGAGGTTTTAAAAAAAACATGATTTTTTTTTTTACATTGCTAGCGCTGAGCATTGAGCTAATCAAAAGTAAAGCAGAAAGTTTAGAAAATCTTATTTGAAACAAAACAAAAAAAAAAACAAACAACCAAAGAACGAAACAAGGTAAACATTTGGCAGACCTTTCTTGGTGGTGGTGAAATACTTGGAGTCCGTCATCTTGGCTGTGAGTTATCTGTTCTTCTGCAGGACACAAAGGGACGATGAAAGTGACTGAGGGAAAGTGCCAGAACTTTCTCAAATAGGGGAAATAAATACTGCTGAAGCAACAGGAAATCCTAAAAGTGCACCACAAGAAAAACACGAGGAAACACGGCATGTCACTTGGAAAGCTTGGCTGTTTCCACAATACTGGGAAAAAAATGAAACACAGCAAAAAAGGAATCTATTCCACAGCCAAAAAGGAAAACATGATCATCCCAGCTGAAATTCAGGGTGCTTATCCTTGCAGCAAGTTCCCCTCATAATTTCCTGTTTTTTTTTAAAATTTTTTACTTCATCCTTGCTCTTTTGTTAAAGTAATAAAACTACACAATATGAACAAGGAATAAAGACTTAAAGCACAACAACATTACATACAAGGTGTATTTTAATTATGTATTCACACATATATCCCCTTCTTAAAAAAACACCTCACAAAAGGAGCAAAATAGAATACTATAAAAATATCATCTTTTGTATTGAACAGCGATAAAATAACTGTGCTGTACCATTTCAGAGATAGCCATGGTGGAAACTGGTAAAAGTAGATAAATATCCATCTACAACACAAGGCACTTCTTGATAAAGCTGAGAGCAGTCTGAACTACAGACTAACCACTCTCCTTTTCCACTAACTCTCTCTCCAAGAGATAGAGGCACGGTGCCCGCAGAGATAATAAAAGCAGAAGTCACCCCCAAAACACAGAGGAATATTATATTTTAATGTATTAGTTTAAACCACTATATTATGGCTAAAAGACAAAGTAAAACAAATCAGATGTTGTACTGGATGTGTTTATGTGTACAATCGATAAGCCTGTGTTAGCTGACAATAAAACTGGATGTAACTACAGAAACAATCAATAGAACGCAAACAAGTAACGCAAAGAAAAAACGAAACATACATGTGATAAGGATAACAACACGGAGACAGACACCAGAAAATATGTACGTTTAAACGGAAAAGCGTTCGGACCAGTTATAAATATCACAGCGTTATCTCACCGCCGGCTTAAAGAAGCTTTAGTCTAAAACCACGATACCTACGGCCGGTTAATATTACCATTAATTATTACTCGGTTACCCAGTACCGCTCCTATCCTAACAGTTGACAGGCTGCTGCCCTACAGCGCTGTCTCGGACGTGATAAACCAGTTTATTAACAACGGCATCGCGAAGCTTGTGGGAACAGCCCAGCTTGTCTCGACTACGGGTATCAAGCTGCAGGATCTACCCGCCTGGGCTGGACTATATCTCCCTGTGTAGCTGGCCAACCTGGCAACCTCGACACTGAAGGTTTTCTGCATGTGACATTGTGTGTAAACTTTAGTAAACCCTGTCAGTACCTAAAAGATTTTTATTAAAACCAGGTGGAATTAACGGCGCCGCTCAGCTACTCGCAATAAAGAGCTTAGAGGAACCCATGCAGAACGGAGCGACAAGCTAATTCATTCAAAGGAAGCAGCGAGTCAGCTAATGTAGGATAGGGCGTCGAAAATTATTTTATCTGGCTACAAACAAAAAAGTCTTATTTTTCACAGTCATTCGTTTGTTTTTCATAGTAAAGAGTAAACCCGATGCTTAAATTCCGCAACGCGAAATCTACCCGAAACATCGCTAGCTATGCTAAATTAAGCTAAGCTAAAGCACCGTGACCTTCCCCAGGTAAACCATAGCCTGTAACGAAAGGTAGGCCAACAATTGGTTGTTTTCAAAAGCTCAGAATGAGCATTCATTTTAAAATATCAAGCATAAACATATTTTAGTACGACAGAGTGGAAACATTTAGAAAGCAGTACCGTATTCAGTTCGGTCTGGATATGTGTACGAAACAGCCTTCACTCCCTCCCACTTCAGCTGAGTGACGTCAACGATCACCAGACCATTATTTCCGGTAACGACTTCCGCATCCTTCCCCCAAAAATATGATTATGTCCCATTTTATAGGAACTTCAGACTGCACTGTCCATTTTACGAGAATAAGAAATGGAGAGCAACTAAAATGATCAGTTACCTGATAATTCATGCTTCACGTGCATCTATCCCAAAATATCGAACGCGTTGGGAATTACAAATGCATTGCCAGCTTCATCCTGTTTGTCGCACACCTGCAGTGTTGTCGTTTGGCTCAAACTATGAATGTATTTTCAATCAAATCAGTGTTTCCCAGCCCGGTCCTCGGCGACTCCCAGACGGTCCACGTTTTTGCTTCCTCCCAGCTTCCTGCCAGACAGTCCACGTTTTAGTTACGTCTCAGCTCCCTATCGGGAGCAAAAACGTGGACTATCTGGGTGTCCCCCAGGACCGGGCTGGGAAACACTGTCCTGAAGCCCTGTAACATATTAAAAATAGAAGCCTTTTTTCTATTTTTTTTCTCTTTAAATTTTAATATACGTAATGTAGACCTATCTGGAGGAATAGAATCTAAAAGAAGATTAGCAATTCTGAAATGTATGTTAAACTAAATGTGTGCATATTCCCACCCCACAAAAAGATTAATAAATAATTATTTGTACCAAAGACTATTTATGGAATCATTTATTGCAAAGAAACAGCAATGAAAATTCAAGGGGAAAAAACAGTGGAGTCTTGGTCTTCCTGTATTGCTATTTAATACAAATAAATTCTACAATGACAGAGCACCACTAAACAACACCAACAATAATAGTGGAGAGCATCAGAAAACAAGCAACATAAAAAGATAATTGTAACCATCTGTTATTGTTACACTAACACTATATAATAGACAGTCGTAAAATAAAATAGAATATACAATATATTTGCATTCAAGTACCAAATAACATTTGCATTTTGGGGTCCTTTGTTCACAGCAATGACAGCTGGTCACAAATAACTTTTAGGATTACACCCGACATGCAGTACATCTCCATTCTAAATTACAACACAAAAGCATGGAAAAGTAAAATGATTTTTAAAACTTAACCAATAAATTTAGCACACTAACGCAACAAAATGGTCAAAAGGAAAAGAAAATTTGGCTGAAGTGGAAGACCCTAGAAAATAGACTACCAGATCCGTCATGGGTTCCTAACGGCGTGAGTGGGGAACACTGCTGGCTGGCAGCTGGACACCATTCCATGCCTTTGGAAGGTCAAAGACCTACCACTAAAAGCTTCAATTTTCTATTTTTGTTTGAATGGCTTCATGTGTATCTCTCATTCTTTGGGTGGCAGAAATAGGAAGTTATTATCATATTATTACTGACAATTAATAAACTTTGCAAGTTCCTTTTACAAAGAAACACTAAGTAAAAAAAAAAAAAAAGATCCATATGTCATTCCAACAGCACATAGCAGAGGTGTGGTATTTAGGAAAACAACTGAACAAAGAATCCCACTGAGTACAGGTCATCGGTGTGGTCCCGTAAATATACAGAATTTCAAAAACTAACTCATAAGTCTGAAGGCTGTCAGTCATGCAAGATCGTCCATACTTGAAATCTATAAATAAATAAATAAAACCCATTCGCGTAGCCTTTCATCCCTACTGCATCTCCACACGTTACATAACATGTCAGTGTTCTTCAGACCCACTCCCTCATTAGGCATTCGACACAAATACAAAAAACCCTGAATTTCTTTACACTTCATCGGGGCTGGGGGAGTCCGCGACATTTTGCGTTAATTAGGCCTTTTTCAAGGATGCCAAAATCGCTTTATCATTATACACTTTTGGAACAGTGCATCAAGACTTTCACTTGCACAGTATACCGCCATGCTGTTTGAGTGCACCTGTACACACATCTTTTTAATGTACAACCACTCCGCAAACATACAGTGATACCAAGAAGTACACATTCCATTTCATTCAGTACTCATTCAATACTATATAAAGGGGAATCTTAAAGTATTTGTTTAGAGAGACAGCTTGCAATTCACAAACAGTTCAACTATTGAAATGAATAACTAAACAGGGCGCCTTGATATTAACACCTATTGTGAAAGCCACTCCCTCTGTATCCTGTAGATGGCAGTATGCGATCACAATTTCAGGTTATGGCAAGAGGCATTACAAGAATGCAACTACAGATTGCAATCCGATTTTAATGTTGTTCAACGCATGAATAAGTTGTCGGCTATATTCTATAAATCCCACAATGTTTCAAACATTGAGTTTAAGACAATACTATAAACAGAGGGAGACGTAATAATGGAGCAAGCAACCAGCTCTATGGAGCTAAAGTTAACGGCTTCTTGCACTGCACCACGGTCGTGGGCACAATTCACAAATACTCACTGGTACACCGGTGAATGCAACGGGCAAACTGGGACAGAATAACACACGCACGCACTTTTTTAAGGCATAGGTAATAGTCAAGGCAACCTTCCCAACAGCAGATTTGCATAGCTAAGGCAGACAAAACACATTTTTAAAGTATGTACATATACCATATACAAACTAAGCATGCCATTTTATTATCAGATCTGCAGATGAAGATAACCAATAGCAGATAAACTGAAGTAATATGTGTGGTAAACTGGTGCAAATCAAAGGTGACTGGACCTGATAACCTCAGCGCCTGGAGTTACAGTCACATTCAGCACTCAGAAATTTACATCTCACCTCCTTAAAAAATTAAAACTTAAAAAATCTAAAAGTGTACATATTTACAAAAATATTATTTACTAAAATATCTGTGTAGCTACTATACAACAGCCAGAACTAAAGGTGGACAACGACAGGGGCCACAGCTGCAACGTACGAGGTGCATGTGTCTCGGTCACATTGGTTAGACCAGAGAGAACATGCAGTCGCTTGGCTGATGACCTGACCCAAGCAGCACTGTACATATAACATGTAGTGTTAAATACACACTTAAAGTAAAACCTAGTGTCTGTGACTAAGATACAGTAAATACAGATGGAGAAATCTCACAACACCATAGGATGCAGGTTTTTGTGTTCACATGGAAACTGCGGGGTCACAGGGAATTAGAGAATTGGTCTGATTATTGTTTACATGTTAGACACCCAGAAGGTGTGTATGGCTGCAAGGGAACAGATTGATTGGCTATTAAGTCATGCAGGTCATACTTGTCTTTGAAGACCATTATGCACTTTTGAGGTTAACTGCCTGTGCAGAGCAGTCTCTTCTACGGCCGGTCACCCATCAATAATTAAACCTGCATACTTAACCTGTGAATCACCAACCTGGCTGATGAGAATGCAAACTGATAACGGTGCTCCTTTGTTTCAGTGGTTCTTTGGGAAATAAATACATTACGTTTGAAGTGCAAAAAGGAAGTTGGAAGCATTTAATTGATGATTGGAAGGTCGCATGAGGTGGGGATGGGGGGTAGGAGGCCTGAAGCCTGAGGCCTGCCTTCACATCACCCAAACAAGGCTCAGAAAGAGCTCTTTAAGCACTTGCTCTGAATCATCCAGAGACCTCGTCCCTAGTTTGTTTTCCCTGACAAAGTAGCTGCTGATGGCCGAGGTCCGTTTTATGGCCCTAACCTTAGCCCTCCCCTAAGTGCCTTGATCTGTTTGCAGTCCCATGTGTCCTCTGTCCCAGCTGCCCCTTCATTCACGAGGAAAGGAAGCAAGCAAGCATCAGAAAGCCAGCCGCAAAGCACATGGGGGCAGCTTATTCTGCTCGGAGATGCATCCTGGGTGCAGATTCCAGCTACATCCAACAATCATCATCTAAGCTCCCAGACCCCACAGAGGAGGCATAGTCCCACTGGCCTAAGCTGGGGGAGCGGGTGCGGGGGTTGATGAAATCCACCAAGGCCTTGTGGATGGGTTTCTGGGAGCTGGGGTAGCCATTGCTGCGGGCGATGCGGGGAGAGGCGGGCAGGGACAGGCAGGCGCGTGGCTGTTCCCTGTAGCTGACTGGGGTGGGGATCCGCGAGGGCTGGTTCTCGGGTCGGTTGTCGGTCCGTGGGCGGATGCGCGGTCGCAGCTTGAGCTTGTAGATAGAGGGCACACGATCTGGCTTCCTCATGCCCCGCTTGGGTCGCAGTACCACCCCCCCATCCCCATCGGCGAGCGGCGGGGGGGATGAGGAGCCCTCGGAGCGGGCCTCGCTGAGGCTGGCGCATGCCGAAGAGCTCTCGCTGGAGTCGTCCCGTAGGGAGCAATTCTCCGGGGGAAGCAGGCCTTCATCTTGGTTCTTATGCTCCTCCAGATTGTAGGGAAAGTCCATGCATTGGTCTGGGTGCCCCAGGGGCTGCACTGTGCTCCTCTGCCCCGCATCCCTGGGTATCCCCGTAGCCTGCTGGAGGCCCTTGTCACCATCCTCACAGCAGAAGCCTGGTCGCTTCTCAGAGTTATAAGATGGGTACATCTCGACATCTTCGTTGCAGCTGGAAGCAGGTGGCAGATCCCTTTGGCAAGAGGAGGTGGAGGAGTTGGAGGAGGAGTAGGCAGAGTCTGTGACATTGGGGTCACCTGGGGGCAGGGGAAGGAGGGTCCCAAACCCTTGTTCCTGTCCATGGAGCTCTACGTCCGCCACTCCCTCGGGGTCCTCGCTGGGTATGGCCGCAGCCAGCTGCGTGTTGGCTAGAAACTCAGCCTCGAAGCTGCGGATTAGGTCTTGCTCTTTCTGCAGGTCTAGGCTGGGCAGAACCCGGAGCCCGAAGCCCAAGCTTTGTCGGTTGTCTTCAGGCTCTGCCCACTGGGGGGCGCTGCGGCCGGGCCGGTGGGGGGCATGCGAGGCCCGAGTCGGGCGCTGTGCGTGCGGATGGGTGGGCCGGGCTGAGGAGCAGGAGTAGCGATGCACTGGGGAGGCTGATGGCTGGGAGTGGGAGGCAGGAGGCTTGTGGGTAGCTGTGGCCTTTTTACTGGGGCTGCCCAGCGTTCCTTTAGCTGGGGAATGAGAGTGACTGGACAGCTGCCTCCGCGAGAAGCCCCCGCTTTGCTTGGGAGAGGCAGGGGCTGCTAGTTTTCCTCGACTCTCCTCTCGTTTGTCAGTGTGGGGGATCCGTGGGCCTGGACTGGGCTCACTAGCCCGGACCCGGGCAGGCATCTTGCCCTGGCTTAGCGAGCGTGGGACCTGCAGTCTGCGCGCCCCCTCTGGCCCCAATGAGCGCCCCCTCTCTGGTCGGGCTTCCCGTGACTCCTCGAGGACACCCCGAGGCACGTTGGGCTTCAACGAGGTCTCGGTGGGCCGTTCCCGGGACTGGCTGCGTGCACGGGCCAGGGGGGGGCGCAGAGATGGGGTTTGGCCTCCTCCCGCAGGCCTCTCAATGATATGCTTGCCCTCGGTGCGGCTCACCAGCAGGACCACCTCCTCCCCTGGGCGCCGGGAGCCCCCAAGCGAGGCCCGGGCCGTCCCACTTCTAGGGGACATTATCAACAAGTCACTGTCCCCGGACATCCTGCGCGTTGCCGGAATAAACATGTCCTTGTTCCTGTGGGTGGGGGGAAATAAAACAAAACAAAACAAAAAAAGTGTCAACAAAAACCCCAACACAACAAAAATATAAAGGGTGCTTGATTTGGGAAGGATCTTACTTAAGGTTTCATAGAAAATAAAAACAAAAACAAAAAAACACAAACACTGAAAAATCACAGTTACATACAGCTGAATCAACCCATCAGTTTCAACGGTAACCTCGTTATGTTTATGTATTAAAGGTATAAACCCTGCCAAACACAACATAAATGTAAATGGCCCCGACCCCAGGCTGACATTGTACCCTGTGACACAGTGTTAGGCAGCGACTAAGGAATACAGTATATAAGGATCAGCCGCATTACAGATTATTGAGATTTTCTGGCTCTGTGCACCCACTGCAGCCACACACTGTTCATCTTCCAATCAAAGTCGGTTTCAAAGCCAACTGATATCCAGCAATATCAGTTATCAGGAATTCCAAAGCCAGAAGCAAAAGAAACAAAATGACCTCTAAAGGGACAAAATGGCAGAGAGCTGGCTGGAATGGCCTAGATTAGCCGATTATATTTGACTCCTACCGCATCAACAGGCTTCAGATTAGCCTTTGATCCCCAGTTGGGACACCAAAGCAAAGTAGTCTGAGGTCAAGCGTGCTATCCCACCCACAGCCTGTGCCTGTCTGCGCCTCTGGGAACACACACACTTTCTGGCCTGGAGTCAAGATGAGCAGACTACTTTTATTCTGCTCAAACAGTGGGGTTGCTAAATCTCAGCAGACTGGGTGGTACTTTCCACACAATGCACAACATCAAAGAAATAAGATTTTTTTTTGACCGGGTAGCCAATAACTGCATACCAAAGTCTTGCCAATACTGTAATGACACGGAAATGAATAAGCAAAAGACAATCCAGTATTTAATTAATATAAACAACCAAACATGTCTGAAGACAACTCATTACAATCCAGGTGCAGTTAGACACCCAAGGCACAAGGGGGTGGCAGACTTGCCAGGTAATAAAAGCACTTAGTGTCCGGAAGACAAATTTTTGTCACGTCAGTATCAGTCATGACTAATGAAAGCAGCTCTTTAACCTGCCTTCATTTTCTACACTATGTGATTGTCTGTGGGCGTGTGTGTGTGTGCGCGTGTGAGTCAGCTGGTTTTGGTCCTGGAGAGCAGCAGTGGTCACTGCAGTGCTGGTGCATGCGTCACGTGATCTTTCAGGCAAGAGCAGTTGATGTCCTTACAGTGGAGTCCTTACTGACACCATGAGACGACTCCCTACCTTCCCCCCAAGTCACACACACTCACAGACACACACACATTTGTCATTGTGGGAACATCATAGACTCAACTTTAGTGTCTATTTAGAAGAATGCCTTTATTGTCATTGTACGGGAAGCAAGTACAACGATATTTCAGTCTTTGCATGTCATCTCGCCCTCCTGTGGACACACTTCACCTCGTTTTTGGGGGAGGGCTAATGTGCCTACACACAAACAGACAGACACAGAGAAACAGCCACCTGAGCGAGGAGGGGTGCCGAGGTTCGGAGCGGTCCCGGGCAGGACGGGGCATCAGGGTGCTGGGCCGGCCAGGGGTGGCATCCAGGTCCGTGGGGAGGGATGGCCGGTGGGCGCGGGAGGTCCTGCATGGAGGGGAGGCAGCCGGAGGGGGGGGCTCCACCAACCGCCTGTCCGGCGTCTTGAAGGGAGCAGCACACTCGTTGCGCCACTGCGGCCCAGGACTGGTGGAGCGTGAGGAGTGGGCACTGGAGGACTTGCTTTGTGAGCCCCCTGTCTTGGACTGGTGGTACCGGTGAGCTGGGGGGGAGGTGGGCAGAGATCAGTCTCAAATGGATACTCCTACTGCTAGCACAACTAGTTTTACACACACACCAGGTTTACCTACTGCCTGTGGAACAGAAGTTAAAACAAATTTCTTCATTGTGGGACTGACATTATGGGTTCAATTGGAGGACAACAGTATCTACCAAAAGACATAGACAATATGGCCAAAAGTATGTGGACACCCCTATTAGAGGAATTGCCTAATTCAGCTGCACCCATTGCTGGCACAGGTATATAATTAACATCGCATGACTGTGTGCTTAAATATGTTTAAGAGCTGATCCAGGTCAACTGCACATAAAGCAGCTGAAGGTCAAGAATTCTTGGAAAAAAATTAGTTGCAAAGTGGTAGCGAGACAACCTGATGACCTGAAACAACGGTGGTAGGTTAGCATGGGATGGTTAGCATGGGAAGGTTAGAACATGAATAGTGGGATGCTGAGGCCAGCGTGTGAAACCTACCAAAAGCGTGGCAGCGGCAGGGGTCGTGCTTGTCCAGGTAGTGCTCCAGCGTGTCCCAGCCGCCACCCACTCGCACCATCACGTGCGTGCGCAGCACCTGTGGGAGCAGCAACAAGTGTGACGCCGTTAGCGTGCCAAATCCTGATGACGTGTACGGTCTGAGAAGAAACTGAATTTATGGAAGTGAGGAGATGGGAAGAGGGATACGCGTACGTTTCTATACGAGATAACAGAAGACAAACAGAGAGAGAACAAATAACTGGCCAAATTGGGAACCACTTATGCATTCGGCAAAAGAACAGAAGCCATTTAGACAAAGCATGTCACAAACCCTTTCCGTTCAAGCCCTCCCCTTCCATTGCCATGCCAATGCGCCAACAATGCAACACAGGGCGCTGTAAGAGTCCCTCCCTCACTAATACAGGAGGTGGGGGCCTTTGTAGTAATTAGCGTACTAACATTAGTACGCTAATTACCATGCTAACAACACTGCCCCCCCAGCCACCCTGGGAAGTGATGTAATCACTTGCAGGGGTGGCCTGAGGTGGTCGGAAGCCTATGACAGCTCCCCCAATCGCAGCCATTTCTCACGCTGCCACGAGAAGCAATTCACTGTGGATTTGTCTTGCCACAGAATATGGAGCTCAGCAGTTTAGGGATCTATGCCCATGTCTGGAAGGTTGTGGGTTTAAATCCCAGGGCTGGCAGAGTAATCATCACTGTGGGGCCCTTTAGCAAGGCCCCCAACCCCAACTGCTTCTGGGTACTCTGCTCACTGAGCCTTAAACTAGCTCCCATTTGTATATAGGTGTGTCAAAAAAACAAAGAATTTTTATTAGGGCTGTCAAAATTAATGGGTTAACGCGGATTAATCCATCATCATGATTAATCTGATAAAAAAAAATTACGCAATTAACCCATCTGCAGAGCAGAATGATTCAAAATCACTGAAATGTCTCTGTCAACCCATTTCGGGTAGTTTTAGTGCGTTCCATTTCCCCTCGGAACTTGTATTCCGAGTCGGATTTTGAAGCCGGAAGTGACTACATGCGAGACATCCGAGAAATATCTCGGAGCAGCACAGAGGATCAGCACAGAGGAGTTCAGAATCCAAGATGGCTGCACCCTTTATCAACAGAAGGGAAAGTTGTAGTCTTATACTGTTTAAGCACTACTTCTCATTTGTGGCTCATTAAATCGGTCGCACACGCTATACCGTCCAACTTCTCTGTGGATGTGTTGCTACGTAGTTTTATATGTAAAGCACCGCACGTAATGTGTTTAGGGCTGCAACTAACGATTATTTTGATAATCGATTAATCTGTCGATTACTTTTTCGATTAATCGGGGGGGCAATTCCATTTCCAGCAATTTTTCATAACCCAGTCTGTCTTTGTACAAAGGTTGTTTCCAGCAACTCACATAAAAAACAAATGTATGCTACATTAAGAGTATAAAAAAAATAATAATTTTGTAGCAGCTGAATCAATGTAATGAAATACACAAAATCTTGTTTTATGAAGTGCAACCAGCATGGTGCATAAGATAATGTATTCAGTACTCCAGTTTTTTAATGTAAAAGCACAGACTACCGCTGCTGCTACTAAGAATATTATTAAATAATTGTCTAATGTTATTTAATGCTGATAGACATATGTGACAGGGGGAGAGCACGTAAGTGAGTGTGTCTGCATTTATTACGAACAAAGTAAACATTTATTGTGGAGAAAAAGCCTTTTCCGCATTTTACGCTAAAAATGCGCCATCTTGCACTCTCATGAAACGCCATAGACTTTAGTGACTGAGCGACGCAAATAAGACGATTGGTGACGAAAAATCCGTGAACGGCAGGCGGCAAATTTTGTTTTAAAACGTGTCCGGTTGTTTCAGCATACTACAGTGATGAACTGTAAATAAGATAAATAACATAAGGCTATTCAGTTTGTTTAATAAAAGGACAAGATATAAACCAGTTCTATAGGAAAGGTAGCCTTAAATGACTTCTGTTGTGATCTGGCGCTATATAGAAAATAAAATGAAATAAAATTAACTTGGGGCGCCCCCCTAATAGAATGGTACGGTAAACACGTTGTGGTATATGTAGCCACATTTGTAGCCACATAATAGCTGATTGTATTGACAACCACGACTTCCCCTGCGTTCATGTAAACACATGTGCGTGTGTGAAGGGACGGGGCGGGTAACGCGGCTGGCAATAACGCCATTTGTTGCACTTGAAGTTCAGCAATATCCGACAGTAAACGGCTCATAAATAAGGATATTCTCAGAGTTATGGTCTCGAAATAAAATCCCGAGTCCATGACAAGAACGAGTACAAATACGGCTGATTCAAACACAAGATCGAGACCTTCAAAAACTGGTCTTACTACAACATTTGATATTACTATAAATTTCTATCATGAAGAAAGGAAGCAGTGTTGTAGTGGTAACAAGAAATTTAAGGTGGGTAAACTACACTCACCTAAAGGATTATTAGGAACACCAGACTAATATGGTGTTTGACCCCCTTTCGCCTTCAGAACTGCCTTAATTCTACATGGCATTGATTCAACAAGGTGCTGAAAGCATTCTTTAGAAATGTTGGCCCATATTGATAGGATAGCATCTTGCAGTTGATGGAGATTTGTGGGATGCACATCCAGGGCACGAAGCTCCCGTTCCACCACATCCCAAAGATGCTCTATTGGG